TTTGTGCAAGCATTCACATTACTGAACATCTTGTTTAAAACTTTGCACCAAGCTAAACAACCATGGGTCTTCTTAGCTGTTACCCTTGTGCATCATTCCAATACTCTGAGCACTGCTGCCATTAATTTACCAAATTTTGTATGATCTTTCAGGACCACCGATATAGTGAAATAATTTTGGCTCAAGTAGTCTGTTAAAACAAATCAAATCTATTTTCATCTCCTCTACAATAGGAGATAAAGCTAATTCCAGGCTCTGCATTTCCTCCAGGTTTTGTCATTCATTGCCATTGTTGTAGGAATTGAATTGAGATGGAGCTGTGCTTTGGAGATTGGTGTGTATGGGTTATTAAAATTGCTTCAACTGTTAAGTGGAAGTCCACAGAGACTGTCTTTTGTAAATTATGGCAAGTTTCTTATATTTGATGGCTGGTCCAATGTATTTGATGCTTTCAATGGGCTTACATAGGGTACCATAGTTTTTATTATAATTATTTAAGAGATAACTAGCAATAGAAAATTGTTGCTAATTATAATTATCAGCAAAAATTGAAAGTATTTTACATGAAAATGGTAGCCACTGTCTTTCATTTGTAACTCTCAAAAATGTTACTGTGATTTTAAAGGAACTATAGATTATTTTTGGTTCAGATTTTTACCTATCTAAAATCCAGATACTCAAAATTAAAGACAACAGTTTGCCAGGGCCCCATGTGCTGATTACCTACTGCTGACCCTTATCAAGCTGACCAACATGGTCTCATGGACAGCACCTCTCATTCCTTCCTCCCATATGATTCTGATGCAAACCCTACACACCCCATCATTTCAACTGTGTTTTTGTGTGTACACTAGGAGAGAGGACTTTACAAACAACAAATCTGAGATACCATCACCAGGCCTAAAAATGGCTAATATCATTCTCAATCCTTATTCAGTATTCAGTGTTCAAATTTCCCTCTCTCAGAAAATATATCATAGATTTTTTCCAAGTCAGTATAAAAATGAGTAACTTATTGAAATGTCTTTTAAATCTCCTTTAAGATCTAAGTGTCTCCTCCTCCCTTCTGTAGATTGAGACAAAGACCCAGAGGGATTACTTGATTTTCCCCAGTGTCAGTTAGTGGTTGGATGGGATTATTTGTTCTCTGCCAAGAGATAAGTCATTTGGGGTGACTCATGGGAATTCTTCCTTTGCAAACTCTGGCTTTTTAGAAGTTTGATAGTTTTGAAAGATTTGCTTAAAGGAAATAGAAAGTAATAATGAACCAAGAGATCCTTGCCTCGTCTCCATTTCTTTATAAACCGCTGTGGGACTCGGGTCACTGGGCATCATCATCTCTGCTACAGTGAGAGGGTTGGGATAGATTTCCTCGGTCTAGATGTTTTGTGCATCTCTTAGGGATAAGGAAATGCCGGGGATAACCTGAGAAAGTCAAAGAAATCTTGTCTTGGCTACTTTTCTTGGCATCCATAAGTTAAAGAAGTGGCTTATTTTAGCTCATACTTTGTAGAGGTTTGGGTTCATCGTCAGCTGGCTCAAGGCAGGGCACAGCAGAGGAGAAACAGTCCACAGCAGGGCAGGCAGGAAGCAGCAAGCTGCAAGTGATGAGCCTGCCTTTCTTCTGTCCCTTTACACTCCATCCAGGTACCAGAATTTTGGGTGCCACCCACACCCAGGGCGGCTCCTCCCATTATCCACTCTCAAAACTGTGCTAAACCAATCAATGCAGTGATTTACTACCACGCATCCTTAACCCCAGTATCACACACCCTAGATGCAGCTCTGAAAAGCCCATCTACGAGTGCAGGAGGCAGTGGGGAGACTCCAGATAGAAACTGTAACATGCGTGATTCCTCCGAGAGGGGTTTGATGGTGAGCAGGGGAGGGAATGGGAGGAAGGGGACTCCATAGGTACACAGGATCCTCCTGATATAAAGAGCAGAAGCAAAGACTCCCAGTGTGTGCTTCACGAGCTATTAAAAGTTGCACGAAAGGTGACCAGGGAGGCTAGCGATGGAACCATGCTTGTGTCACTAACATTCTAACCTCCTAGCCACGGTTACTTATTAGCAACATTTACGTAGCACTTACTGTGTGCTATACGGGGAAGGAAATAGGACAACTGCCGGAATGGCGCCGAGGGAAAGATGTCAAGGGTCTGTGAAGGTGAGAGGTCTGCTCTGGGCCCCGTTCCCTCCACCGCGGAAGCAGCAGCAGTTGTAGCCATCAATGACAAGGAACCTCCTGGATGAGTGATGGCACTGCCGAGGGATGTGCCCAGACACTCAGCGGCCTTGGTGAGCGTGAACTAATTAATTTTCACAACACCCTTGTGAGCCTGGCAGTAGCATTTTCCTAGTTCTCCAGATGAGGTGATGTCAGGGCTGCACGTAAGTGATTTGGCCCCTTCACATGGTGAGACTCTAAAGGCCTGGGAACAAGAAATTTTAGGCAGAGGTTCAACTCAACTTCCAGACCCTTGTTTTTAACTCATATTCTGGTTCTTCCCCTTAATGAAAGTGTTTCCTCTTCTTGTAAAATAACAGTAGATAACATATAAGTGCTTGTTTTGTGGGCCCATAATTACCATGTACAGTGATTCCGAACAAGTACAAAATAAACACATCTGAGATGGGGCCTCACAAATCATCGAGTTTAACTTCTTCATTATGTACGTTAAATTACGCACCAGGCACACAGACGTGTCTGGTGCCAGAGAACAAATTAGAGTCCTTCCTCCCGTGGCCAGCTCTGGATTTAGCGCATTCTCCACTGTGCCTCCTATTGTCTCCTTTTCTGTGGAGCTCCAGAGAGCTGCACAGACTGAAAATGCAGGGCTGGAAACCTCCAAAAAGACCGTCAGCCTAGACAGTGCAGCTGGCTCTTAAATCTCCTGCACCACCCCTCTGTGCTCAAACACAACTAGTGGTCAGAAGGCCACCACCTGCGGGACAGCCTGTACCTCTTCCCTGCCCTGCAGCAGCCATCAGGTCACCAACAGCCCTGTCCAGCACACAGCTGACCTCGGGCCCTGCCTGTCCGCCTTACAGGATGGTTCCCTTTTGACCTTTTCTCAACATCTTTATTTCTTTCAATTTAATATTCTTGGGGCCAAGGAGAGAGCTCAGCGGCACAGCGCCTGCCTGGCAAGCACAAGGCCTTAGGTCCAGTACCGAACAAAACAAAACTTAGTATTCTTTCAGAAAATGCTTATAAAATTGCATCTATAAAATGTCATATGCTACATAAAAATATACACTTCAAATTCAAAGTGACAAGCACTTTAATGCACCGTATCAGAGGAATGGGGAAAGTTTATTACTTACTCATTGTGTATATGTACTGAGGGTGCACAGCAGTATCCCCTAATAGAATGCAGAGATGTTCCCTAAAGAAATACAATGATATTCCATCCTGTTCTGAATCTTACAGTGGAAAAGACATACAGGATATAAAGATGCTGGTTAGGTGTCAGAACACAGGGAAGTGTGTGCTGTGAAACAGGACATTCAGTTGTGTTGCTTCCAGATGCTGCTGCATGTAAGCGGACACAGCTGTTGACAAATTCAGGCATGAAAAGCAGTGGAGCCACTGAGCTCCACCGGCTGCTGAGAGGCTGGAGAGCTTCCCAGCCCTGCTCACTGTGAGGCCGGCAGCATCTGAAGGGTACCAGTCCCCCATCCCTGTGGAGCGCTACTCCGTGCTGGTTCTGTACGTTGACTGCGCAAAGCTGAACGACAAGGAACCCACCCCGACTCCCTTACCACTTAGTGTAAATGCAGCAGGAAGCGACCCAGAGAAATGTCGACAGAGGTGGCTCTGCTGGGGGAACACAGAGGACCTGGGTGACAAGGACACTTCGGTGTGGGCCTACAGGCTGGGCAGACGCGTATCAGGCTGAACTAGGAAGCCTCTCAGATGAACATTTCAGCCAGTCTGGTCCTTTTCTGTTTTCTAAACTTTCCATAAACATTTGCAGTTAGAAAATACAAAGATCTTTGCTGCTGTTTAGTCTTTTTATCCTGCCCAAAGCACATATTCTTCAGTCAAAAGATTAATTATGAAACATGTAATGGGGACATCACTGACAATGTCCCCTCCCAGGCTTTTCGGGTTCACTTTGCTGAGCCCCAGGCATGGCTTGGATTTTACTGCCATCTAGTGTCCTGAAAGGACATGTTAATTTGTGACCCTCCCTGAAATTGTGTCCCCTTGCTTCCCGAATGGAGAATCCCACCACCCCCTTGGTTTTACTTGGATCACTTTGAAATCAATGTAAAATAAGTCTGGTTTCTATATCTCCCTCTCTCTTTTCTCTGTTCAATCACTCTGGGCTTCACTGACTCCTCCGTTTTACACGGATCCTGTCTCCAAGGCTGCTGGTCACTCCTCAGGACTGCTGCGTGAGGTGGACCGCATGTCCACTGCACAGAAGGGGCCCACCTCCAGGAGTGAGGAGAGGCCGATCCAGCCCACAGTCTGCTCCAAAGCTGAATGAGGAGAGCCCGCAGCTCCTCAGGGACAGGCTTTCCTTAACTACGTTAACTACAGGCTCTCCTAACTACACAAGTCAGCAACAGCCCTGGGGTCCCTCCACGGTGGTTCCCACCCAAGACACAGTGTCCCATTATTACTTTGAGGCTTCTAGTTTTACGAGTCTTTTTAGCATCTGGACTATTCTATTCTTACAAGGCTCAGAAGGATCACAAGGGCAAGACACATGATGAACCTGTTACAGTCTTGGTCCCCAAAATTTTGTCTAGGACAGTGTGCGAGCCTATGGCACCTGTGCCCCAGCCAGCACATTGTTATCACCAAAAGCGCTAAAAGGTTCACCATCACTGGCCTAGGCTGTTGTGATCATGACAGTTCTTTTCGGCATGGGAGTGGGAATATATGTGCTTTTGTGTTACTCTCCTTTGTGCGATGGCTTGAACACACTCCAGCAATGTTTCTTCTCCTCTGCGTCCTTCATTGTAATTCTGCTCTCTCCCAAGGTCCCAGGCCACTCGTTTCCGTTGGCATCAGCCCGCTCCTTTTGACAAGCAGCAGACCTGGGCGATAGATAACGTCTACATCGGGGACGGCTGCGTAGACCTGTGCAGTGGCCACGGCAGGTGCAGCCAGGGAAACTGTGTGTAAGTAGATTTTTTTTTCCTTCTTTGTCAAAAGCTCCTGATGCACATTCCATGTAGGAGATTTTTCTGAAACTGGTTTTTGAATCACTCCCAAGCTGCCTTAAGTTGTATATTTTCCCCGAAATACAATTCTGAGCCAACTGTGGAGCTGGTGGAGAGCTGTATCATCATTCTTGCTTAGAGATTAGAAACTGAACAACAGCTACCTTGTCAGGAGAAAGCTGAGGCATAATTGACTATATTTTATTTCCTTCTATGTTTCTGTGATACACTTGAGCCTTGGAAAAAAGACATTAGAAGAAGTTCAGGAGTTCAGTATGGTCTGAACAAAAATAATACATCATCTGTATTTTTTCTCACTCAGCTCTGAACTTATGTAATGATATGCCTTTGTCATGGTTTAATTGGTATTCCCACATTGTTTGCATAGCAAAGTATATAAATGTCTGGACAATTTACCAAGCTTTTTTGATGGAAACACCTGGTATGTTATTCTTCGAGAGCCTTAGCATCTTGAGAAGAATCTAAATGAAGTACGTGTACGAACATGTGTGTGCATGTGTGCATGAGCACACGTATGTATACACATGCCCTGTAGGCTTTTGTGTTTTGTTTGCAGCGCATGTGCTATTGACTGAAGATGCTCAGAACATTCTTAGTCCCCCCTCTGCTCGTTTCACGACCCTGGGAAGTCTTTTGTTTCATCGGTGATTACAGCCTAAATCCAGTGTGGCCCTAGAGGCCCTGGAGCCTCCTGGTCCCAGTTAGTTCATGTCCCCTTCCATCCGGAGCAGGCAGTCAGGCCTTTGGTCAGAGATGACATTTGCCATCCAAAGCATCCGCTGTTTGGAACATGGCCTCTGGTATTCCGGGTTGACCCAGAGCCTCTGTTAAAAGAGCAATTTCATCAATGGTGAGGACACTGTAATGTAGCTCAGCAGCTGCAGCTGTCTGAAAGCCATCCAGACCTGTATCAGAGAGAGACTAAGTCTCGGCAAAACTTGTTAAAGATGCATCTTTCTCTCCACCTATCACCCCAAATCCAAGCTTTAGGAAAACCTAAAAGTTGCTTTGCAGTGTTTTTTCTCTATCCCAAAGCACTATTAGGGAGAGGAGGTGAATTCTGGCAAATGCTAAGCAAGTCAGCAACCTTTTATCATCCTAGGCAGGGAGGAAAAGGAGTGGGCTGCACTAACAGAGAGCACACTGGCAGGGCTTTGTTTGATGTTGGCTTTGCCTTCTCTCTCTCCCCACCCAGCTGTGACGAGCAGTGGGGCGGCCTGTACTGCGACGAACCTGAGACCTCCCTTCCAACCCAGCTCAAAGACAACTTCAATCGTGCGCCTTCCAACCAGAACTGGCTGACTGTCAACGGGGGGAAGCTAAGCACCGTGTGTGGAGCGGTGGCTTCAGGGCTGGCTCTCCATTTCAGCGGGGTGAGCACTGGGCTGCTGGTTATCCGTCTCCGCATCCTCTGAGTTTCTCCCTAACTGTTGGATCTCTTCCAAATTTAATGGGCAAATAAGATGCAGAGTTAGTTACTCTAAAGTCTCAAGCCCCATCTGAACTTGTGACCTTCCACAAATCAGAAAACCCTGCCTTATATCCCGTATTTTCCTGCCACAACAGCCGAGACGCTTTACCTCTGCAGGCTCGTGTGAGCATAGAGTATATTTTGGAACTCACTTTTAAACCATGTATATGGATTTCAATCCAGGAAAAACACACTTACAGAGCGTATGAGGTTTCCATCTGGGTGATCTGCTAAGTGAAAACTCTTGAATTTCCAAGAGATATGTGATATAAGTTAGAACCAGAAATCTGGAAAATAAGCTTCAGCGATTCCTGAATTTATTCACAAACATTCATGCTTTCCAAAGTTAGTCAAGAACGAACAATTGTTGGCTATTACCAGATATTTGTATTTACATTACAATATTATTTTGTGAATGGCAGCCTCAAGGTTGGGAACTTTCTTTGAGGAATTTTTTTAATTGTTTCATTTTCTGGCCTAAGATGACTGTTTAAAAATATTCCTCCAATACCATGATTAGATAGGCAAATTAATTTTTAAGTGATAACAAATTTGCAATCAATTCACTTTCTTACCACATTTTGTATTAGACTTTCCATTGGTACTAATTAAGTGTACAACTTCTCCTCAGTGTTTTAGCCCAAGTGTAACAAGCAGGCACCCGGTATAGATTTTCACGATCATCAGCACCAAGAATACTGTGCTGAAGATATTCTTTCTAGTTTAGGTGCAGTTGTAAGTGGCCAATATTTCCACATGTGTTTAACTACAAAACACCTCTATCAAAATTAATGAATTAATATAGATAACATGAAACACTACAAAAGTGGTTTAAATAAAAAAACATTGCAACTAACTCTAATTGTAGTAAATTATATGAAATATTTAGATGTCGTCACTTTATAACTTATATTTAAATAGTCATCTTAATGCACTGGTTCATTAATGACATGCTTTTTTTTTTTACAAGTCTGATTAATGACATTCAATAACTGGAAATAACAGAAACATAAGATGGTTATTTTACTTCCATCCTTCATCTTGCTTTTAATATCTATATATTAAATACACATATATGAAAGCTCTCCTTAGAATACGAGACCCTCCATAAGTAAGTCTTGACTACTGAAATTTCAAGATTCAGCAAACATTCATTGAGCTCCTACCATATACCGAGCACATGCTAGAGCTAGCATGAGAGCCAGGAAAGTCAGGGAAATAGCACAAGGATGGAAACCCGAGGAAGTCTGTGATCTGCAGTCATGGTTCCTAATCACTGCCTTCGTTTTCACTGTTTCTGTTCCTTAGGGTTGCAGTCGATTACTAGTCACTGTGGATCTAAACCTCACTAATGCCGAGTTTATCCAATTTTACTTCATGTATGGATGCCTGATTACACCCAACAACCGTAACCAAGGAGTCCTCTTGGAATATTCCATCAATGGAGGCATTACCTGGAACCTGCTAATGGAAATCTTCTATGACCAGTACAGTAAACCTGGGTTTGTAGTCTACTTTAATAACTAGATTTTTGTGGGAAAATGCATGATAAAACTAGCAGCTACGCGTCTCAGGAGACTGAGCAGACTTCTGAGCCACTCAATAGTAGAGGAAGCCTTTCATACTGATGGGAAGGGATGTTTCTGCTTTGAATAAGTAACTAGTTCGTGTTTTTATTTTAAGACCAGTTAGTTTTCACATCTCAGTATAAAATGAAATATGCTATCACAGTGCTAGGAGTAAATAAACCCAGTGCAAAAACCCATAGTAATTAGTGAGTATATAATTTCAATATTTGGAGAAAATGGAAATAAAATTTCAATATTTGGAGAAAATGGAAATAAAAACAAATATATATTTATATACTATCACCCAGTTTGAGAGAATTGTGAGCTAGAGAACAAGGAGACACAGAAGGTATAAATTCCTTAAGAATCCTAGATTCCATTTCAATCATTTATTTAAAAACTTTGACAGTATTTAAGTCATTTAAAAATATAGGTGTATTCTGAAAGGGCTAAAGCAATCAATGTGACCAATTAAGGAAAGTCAAAGAGTTATTAAAGAAGAAAAGCACATATTCATTTAAGTGAAAACAGAAGGGAAAAGAAGAGGGTGACAGAGAAAGGAAGGGAGGACAAGAGAGGAGGTACACAAAGCCCAAGCAGGACACACCGAAAATCCCTGGTCCATGGCAAGGTGCAGGCTACCGTGGAGTAAGGGGAAAAGAATCTTACAAACGGTAAGTTCAGTTCGATAAGTCAGGTTAGAATTGGTTCAGCTGTAGATATCAGAAATCTCCAAGCATCCTCTGCAAAAGATTCTCCCTCCCTTAGGTAAATTAAATCCCTGAAAAAAAAAAAGTAGCCCATGGCCACCACCACAGCTCCCCAAGCATCAGGAACTCAGCTTCCTCCTAACTTCATGGTCTCAGTGGGTGACTTTCTCCTCCTGGCCCAGAAGGGCCGCTGGGTCCCCCAGATCTATAGTAGGAGCAGGGAGCGGCCAAGAAGGTCACGCCGACCTCTCTCAGCGACAGGTCCTAATAGGTGCCCGTCCCTCCATTCTCGTGACTAGAGTGTGTCACATAGCCACGCTCCGGTACAGGGAAGGCTGCACTTGGCTTTACCCTGGGCAGCTAGTCACTTCTGTAAAAAGATAAGCTCCTATTATGAAGGAAGAAAGGGAGTATGGTAATTGAAGAAATGCCAGCAATCCGCTACAAGCAAAATGTGAACTTGTTCTTGCACGTAAGTTGAAAATCAATTAAGGAATCCAATGAGAAGCTAACTGCTACACAATGTGTTAGCATAAAGAAATACTCATTTATTAATAAGAGCAAATACCCCCGCTGAGGAAGTGGTTTCACTGGTCTTTGTAGGGGAATTTATAAGGACTCTCAAGTACGAACTGGGGCATTGCACGTGGAGAGAAGGAGTTCTGTTTCCGCAGGATAAATGCATACCTGTTTAACTTTATTTCTCCAATGGAGAAACAAATTGACTCAAATGGAATCAGTGGTCATAATCTATTTAAACTTTCAAGCAGCCTTTGATAACTTTCCACCCCAAAGATTTTTGAAATATGATTTAAGATTTATAATTGTAAGAAAATTACCTTAGACACAGGAAAGAAAAATAAAGACTGCTGGGCATGGTGGTGCATGCCTGTAATCCCAACACTGGGGAGGCTGAGGCACGAGGGTTGCCACAAGTTCAAGGTCATCCTGGGCTACAGAGTGAGTTCAAGGTCAGCCTGAACAGCATAGTGAAACCCTATCTCAGTAAGTAAATAAATAAGATCATTGCTGTGGGCGAAGAGGTATGATTATACATCTTTCCAGAAACAAATAGAACTTTAATATTATATGATATATTTTAAAATGTTTAAATATGCCAAATCAGTGCAGGTAAGGTATAGGAAGATACCAAAGGTGTGCACACCCCAAGAAGCACTGGTGGGGTGGGGGCCAGTGAGCTTCCAAACTGAGAGGCCTGAGGAGCTGAACTTCAGAGAAGACCCTGCCTGAAGTCTGGTGGTTTCCACGCTGCCAGGAACAATGTGAGGAGGGTGCAGGATTTGCGGACTGCACGTTCCTTTCCTAACACTGGTACTCATTAGGCTGTCACAGTCCCAAAAGGGCACAAAACGATGGCTAATTCACAAGAGTATTGACAATCCAAGTGTTAGAAACCAGTTAAAAGTTTCCCAGCTTAGACTGGGTCTTCGTGGGTCCCCATCTGGAGTACAGCCCGCTCTGCTGGGTGCTGGGTCCTCAAGGAAGACATGAGGGAGGAGAGAGAAAGGGAACCTGAAATCAGTGATGAGAGACCATGCCAGTAAACCTAGAGGAAAGAAACCTCTTCAGTGTGAAAGGCATGGGGTCCAGTGTCAGTTGGGGAAGTTTGCCCAGGAGCCTAAGAGGCAGCCCTGGAGGTTAAAGACAGATTAGCAGAGATAAAAATCAGACACTGGCAGTCCCAGCCCTGGGGAGGCTGAGGCAGGAGGATCACTGCTATTTCAAGGCCAGTCTGGGGCTGTATAGTGAGTCCAAGACCAGCCTGAACTACACAGAATGGCACTGTCTCAAAAATAAATTAAATAAAAATTAAAAAAGGATGCCACCTTACCCAGAGATTAGTAAACCTAAGGAAACGATTCTCCCCAGCACAGAGAAATTGTGAATATAAGTTCAAAACAGCTGGATACACTCCTGGGTTGTAACACATAATTTCCGTTAAAGGATATCTTCAGCCCTATTCCTAATAAAAAGTCCGTGCTGGAGCAGGGACACAGATGCTTCTGTCTCTCTGGTGCCTGAGTGCAGGAGCGCATGCTGGGCCTGTTGGCTCCTTTCTCCCCCAGCCTGTCTCAGTGCTCTCAGGGGCACTCAGAGCGGCCCGGGGCTGGCAGGCTTGCAAGAGCTCACACTCTTTCCCAGATGAGTGACTCTGTAGAGTCCAGCCAGTTAACCGTGGCTTTTAGCTCGCCTCCCCTCCCATGGGTGACAGATGGCAGGAGAGATGCGAGGGTCCTTCTTCCCCACCGCTGTTGTCTTACAGCTTCGTGAATATCCTCCTGCCTCCTGATGCCAAAGAGGTTGCGACTCGCTTCCGCTGGTGGCAGCCCAGACACGACGGCCTGGACCAGAACGACTGGGCCATCGACAACGTCCTCATCTCAGGCTCTGCTGACCAGAGGACCGTCATGCTGGACACGTTCAGCAGCGCCCCGGTGCCCCAGCACGAGCGCTCCCCGGCCGACGCCGGGCCCGTCGGGAGGATTGCTTTTGACATGTTCATGGAGGACAAGACTGAAGGTGAGCAGGCTCAGAGGCCCCCCAAAATGCACGGAAATGCAGGCCCTGGGGCGCGGGTCTTCCCCAACATCGAAACGTGGACCTTTGCAGATTCTCCAGCAGGATAGCAAAGGGAGATGGGCGTCATGCTTAGCTCCTGGCTGACACTGAAATTATATTTTTTTTCTTTCATTCAAGCCGGCTAGTGTGTTTTGATATCATTCTGTAATGCTATTAGCAGGATAATTATATTTTTTGGAATATTTGTACTTTATGCTTCCTGTTCTCTGCTTTGGGTGGAAAGCCTACATCTCCTGATCACTTGTGGTCTTATCCAGTGCAGTGTCCTGTATGCTATGTGCTGGGTTTTAGATTGAACTCCAGGTTTTCTTGTTCTCCGTCCTCAGAGTAGCTCAGTGATGCTGGCAAGCTGGAAAAGACCTTATCTACCTTCTCACTTTCCGTGTGTTGTTTTCATTGCATGATGCTATGAACTCTTTTTAGTGGAGTCTTATGTTCAGTGTGTGTCTTCACACGCAGTGTGCTTTGGTTACACTGTACGTGACATGGCATTTTAGCTGTGTGTTTCGTACTAACAGTGCATGTGCTTCTGCATGGTAGTCATGGGTATTACACCAGGGGCTGTTTAGACAGTGAGACCGTGTGTTCCACCAGCTCAAGCTAACATCCAACATCTAACAGTTGAAGAAAAGACAACCTTGATAATTTTATAATAAAAGACTGATAAGAACCTTTTTACAGGAAGCTGTGTGTGGGGACACCTTGAAATTTGAGAAATTTTGAATAATTTAAAATACTCAATTATTAATATCTTATGGTAAAAGTGATATATGTTCAAACGGTGAAAGTGAGATAATACAAGAAATTTTGAGGAAGAAAGAAAAAGTTGCGTAGGTGATAACTTGTCAATATTGTGGTATGTTTTTATTCTTTTCCTATGCTTTTGTATAAACATTTTAACAAAATTATTTTAAATGGTATATGTTACAGACTTCTCTTAGATAGAGTTTTCCTCATATCCTTAAGTATTTTAAAAAGTAAAATGTTTGTAGCTGTATAATATTTCATCATTGTGATATTGCTAAATATTTATGGTAATTTCATTTATTGGTATATTATGTGATGCCATGATATAACTGCAAAGATTTACCAAAAACCACTCTTGCAAATAGAGAAGTCTTTATTGTATCAAGTAGTCTTATTCTCTTAAGAAGCTTATTAAGATCTGCTCACATAGATCTGATTCAGGACGTTGCTAAATGCATCATCTGCTTGTCCCTGTAATGGTTTACGTAAATGAGTTTACAGTCAGAGAACAATTTAAACACTGCTTCTGTATGAATCAAAGCAAACATAGACTGATTTTTCAAGAAGCTAAAATACTAATTGTTACTTTAGGCTTAGTTGGTAAATACAATTGCAGGAACATACTTTCTGGCCCCTATTTTGCAAGAATAGTGTCCTTATAAACTGGAAAATCTCCTTATGGAGGTGGCTTCTGATGTCACAGAAGAGACTGATGAGTTAGTAGACTCATCCACTTGATGAGACTATCAAGTGGATGAGTCTACTAACTCATCACTGTAGATTGCATATCCACCAGGATTGCAGCGTACTAGTGTAAATGCAATGTGCACCATAGAATGTGGGCTCAGGATATTCTGACTGGAATTCAAATTTCTGTGCATTTTGACTCTTGAGTCCTTTATCTGTGACACTGGATTAAACATGGCTCCAAATCCCTGGGAGTGGAGACAGATAATGGTGTTGCAGAAGCCGGTTGAACCTCAGAGATAAGCTGCTTGGTCTGCAGGCGCATGACAGGCCCAGACAGAATCAAACAGATGCGCTGTGGGTGAAGGCCGACTCACAGTGAGATGGCTCGCTCTCCTCTCTGAGCTGCCAAAGCCGTCGGATTCCGCTGCCCACACACTGGCCCCGAGCCTCCAGATGATCTGCTCCTGGCCACTGTAGATGTCGAGCTCACCAGGAAACATTCAGAAAAAAACTGGACCTGGGAGATGAACGTGTATTATTAATTAGACACAATTTGTGGATATGTTTCACTTCCTGACTTTCTGGTGTAAAAATCATGATATAAAAACACTTCTTCCAGAAGAGAAAGGGAATGACAAGGGACATGTTTATGCTCGGGAGAGAGACTCAACACGCAACATACATCCTGCATTAATCTGTTCAGTCTCACTGTGGAAAGTTTTCTTGAGACTCTTCCAAATCTCTACCATCAGCACTTTTTTGGTTTTTTGGTGTTTTCAGTACATTTCCTTAGACTTACTTTTGCTCTTGTTGAGAAAAAGAGTCAAGGTTTATTAGAAATATCTGTTCATAATGCATACTTAAATATCCACATGTAAATATTCAAACATTAAGAACATTACCAAGATAAACTTATGACAGCACTATTTTATAAATAATCCAAGTTTCATAAATAGTATCTTTATAATACTCTAATTTTGCCAAATTAAATACAACTTCACAGCTCAAGGCTTAAAATTGTATGTTTTTGATTGAGATTTTAGGTAAACAACAGTAGATGGGTAGATAGCTTCCCAATCCTAGTAAAATGGTAAATTTTGGATCTAGCTTTTGATTAAGCAATAATGGGCTAGCTCAGGATTTAAAGGTAGTCTTTATAGAAAATTGCATGATGAAAGCTTTAACATTTCTCAACTAATTTCTGAAATCGTGTTTGCCTAATTCTAATTAAAGAGATTGGTTTCCAGGTTCTGGGGAAGGGGAAAACAGAGAATCATTTCTCATGAGTAGGAAGTTTCTGTAATTTAATATGAACAGTTTCTAAATATCTGCTATACAACAAAGTATAGTTAAGAACATAATATCATGCACTTTAAAATATATACAGGATAGATTTTACACTAAATGTTCTTACCCCCTACCACACACACACACAGAAATTTTTGGAAGTGGTAGATATGCTTAGTACCTTGGTTGTGATGACCGAGTCACAGGCATGTACATATGTCTAAACCACCAACATGTACGTATTAAATGTGTGCAGTGCTTGAATATCAGTTATAACTCAATAAATCTATAAACACATTTTATTACCAACTTTTAAACCACCCAGATGTTACCAGAGTTCAAGTTAAAAGAGCCAAGTCTCTTCCTCATCGTGTTGCTCGAATATCTTTCTCCTTTAGATGCTGCTCAAAAAGCTAAAATCACATACATTCCCTTTTTATTTTCCCTTATGACCTATACAATAAAAAATTTTCTTTTTCCCAAGAGCACACTAATCCGTAACCCGTGTGTGTGTGTGTGTGTGTGTGTGTGTGTGTGTGTGTGTGTGTGTGTAAAAAGATAGTATGTGTGTCTCAACTATCCCAGTATCCATGCATGATGCTAAAATGAAACGCTGGCCTTGGTGCGGGTGGTATGTCATTACAGTGTCTGTAAGGGAGATTTCTGCTTGAAATAATTCAGGTCTTTCTGGAAGTGAAAATTTGCTTGAAGTATTTTTGTTATAAAGTTATCGCAAGGTTTTGTCTCTTTTTTAAAGTGAATGAGCACTGGCTGTTTCATGACGACTGCACGGTGGAGAGGTTCTGTGACTCCCCTGATGGGGTCATGATCTGTGGCAGTCACGATGGACGGGAGGTGTACGCAGTGACCCACGACCTGACTCCCACGGAAGGCTGGATTATGCAGTTCAAGGTGAAACTCATTGTCTCAATTACATAAATCACGATCACACACACGAATCACATAGCTGATTGACAAGTCTCAGAGATAAACATCATCTATATTTCATGGGCTTAATATGTACTTTGAAAGAACTTAATCTTAAATTAAGCATCTTTGTATTGTTTAATGATTAAAAGTATTTTATTCCACACTATTTCAGAATAAATTAACATGAGTAACTGTGTTTCTGCCCAAAATTAAATACTAATAAAGCAAGACATTGGTAATAAACAGATGAGATGCTGGTTCCAATTCCCTGTCTTAAATCACTGTATAACTTAGCAAATTAATTTAGGGGCTATTGAAGCTATAAAAGTTTCTAATTTTTATAAGAACATTTGGATATTCTGGAGATAAAAATAAAGCTTTAGAATATTCTGGAGATTAAAAAGAAAGCATTAGAATTGATGCCAGCATCATGTTTGGCTGATATTTTATGTCAACCAATTAATTTTGTCCATGCAAATTCCACCATGTGGTAACCAAAACAATCACGTTGTAGCAAGCTCTGTTGACAAAGGGTGCCGTGCTTGGCGGGAAGGACCTTCTATCATACTCCATTGCATCTTACTTATAGTTGAAAGTGATTTATTGAGAGTCATAAATTGTATGACAAAATAATGAAATCAGGAAAGCTGTTAGCGATCCTTCTTGGTCATATATTCCGCCAGACTCAAGTGCCAGAACATTAACAGAACAATTTGTAAGAGGAAGCCAAGGCCTTCCAAGGCAATCAGCCACGTGGCAGGAGCACAGTTTTCAGCTTCTCTCCAAACCCGCCGCACAATACATTTGGCACTTTTTCTAAGTTGTCACCTTGGGCAACTGTGTCGACTTCCCCTGTCCAGCAGCCGAACAAATAATAAACCTGCAAGCACGGGATGGTGCATATCCAGCGAGCAGCATCTATCTTACAGCCAGTTCTTCAGAGCAGATACACGGGATGTGGTTTTAATGCCTTGACAACCTTGATTTTCTGTTTATTAGGTCTCTGTTGGATGCACAGTGTCTGAAAAAATTGCCCAGAATCAAATTCATGTGCAGTATTCTACTGACTTTGGTGTCAGCTGGAATTATCTGGTCCCTCAGTGCTTACCTGCTGATCCAAAATGCTCTGGAAGTGTTTCTCAGCCATCTGTATTTTTCCCAACTAACGGGTGGAAAAGGATCACCTATCCACTTCCTGAAAGCTTAGTGGGAAAGTAAGTACAAAGCTGACATAAAGCCTGGACCAGGCATCCTGAAGCCAATGGGGGACACCGTGATCAAGTCTGAAGTGGTGGGGGATTGTGGTGAAGTGTTTCCTTCCTCCCTGATACTAAGGTTCTCTGATTAGTGACTCAGATTTTTAAGAAAAAGTCTTTGGCGGGGCTTTCCATATTCCAGAGTACCATGTTATCAAACGGGAACAGAACAGTACTGATGATCTTGGAGCCAGTATGACAGTCTTCCTGTCCTCCAGCTACACTTCGCACATTCATGACAGAGTGAGGAACTAACCCCACTCATGCTACTGGGACAGTCCTAACTCTTCATGCTCTTTGTACAAGCATGGCTGATAGGTTTCTTTTTTGTCTTCTCCAAACATTATGTTCTGTGCCTGCAGTGAAAAGCAGTTAGACAGCAGCAGTGGTGAGCTAAGGTGATTACGCCATGCTATGGAAAGCGTGTGGATATGGTAATGTTAATTCCCAAAGATTGCCCTTCTACTGTAAAGCTGAGGAAAGAGATGCATTAAGCAAAAAGGACAGGTGCACCTCTAGTGAATGAATCATTATTCTGAGTGGCTGAAAAACCTTCTTGTGAAACAGAGTGTGATATGTGGCCAGAACACAAAGTATGTGAACAGGGCACCCACACACAGTTTTCCCAGGATCCTGCAGACATCACTTACTGTACAACAGCTCACATGTGGGGACCTGGATCTGCAAGGCTTCTTCAGTTGACATACTGAGAAGCAATCCGAATGTTTCAGCTGCAGAAGACAAAAACTCAGTTCAAACTGGCTCAGTTGAAAATGAAATGTATGGCTGGGGATTTAGCTCAGTGGCATAAGTGCCTGCCTTGTAAGCATGTGGTCATGAGTTCAATCCCTGGTACTGATAAAAAAAAAATTTTTTTTAAAGATTCAAAAAAAAAAAAAGAAAATGAAATGTATTCAATTCCTGGTACCAAAAACAAAAGCAAAAATAAGCATTCCGTCTATAGTGAAAGAATCCAAAGACAAATTAACCTGCAAGTTCAGTGATCTCTTTGAGGACACCGTTCGTTCTTACTCCCTCATTTTCTGAAATAATCCTTTCTCAGCTCCGCTTCTGAACATAAGACGGCAGCCAGAAAACTTGGAGCAGAATGCTTCTCACCCATGTCCAGTGGGCAGAGAAACAGAGGTGCCAGCATCAGCACCTTCTTGTGTCCATTGGTACAAATTAATCCATTTCTGAGCCAGTCAGTATGTAGGACCCTAAAGGCAGTAATTATCTTGTGCTGATGATCTAGGGTGAAATGGTTGCTGGAAAACCAACATAGCACCGACCATAGGCTTGCTTGTCCTTCCTGTTCAGATTCTCTCTTTAAATAATTAAGCACAGCTTATGTCCAGTACAGACAGTGCAGACATCGTTGTTCAGATCAGTGAGTTTTCCCATTATACAGTCTTCATACAACATGGTATAGCACATGCACATTGTCTTCCTGCATTTCGTGTTCTTCAAACCAAAATCGTGTGGTTTGCTTTAATATAAAAAGAATTATGAGCCCTTTTTTTCCCCCTGGAAACCAGTAAAGAACAATCATGAAATTAAAAATCTCAGGGAAATTATCTTTTAATACAAGCCTTTGGAAATTGTTTTCTGATTAGCATAGCCACTCTGAGAATATTGATTGTCTGCAGGGAACTCAGAAGTTGCTGTCTCCCAGCCACCTGGGGGCTGTGCAGATGCAGACGAGTCTCCGGCATAGACCCACACAGCTCCTGTGCAATTTCACAGATGTAATTAGTGAATCTAAAGTGCCCACAACCACTGAACTCTGGTTCATAAGAAATGGAACTTTAAAAGTATCTGGTTTTTTTGTTTTGTTATTGTTTTATTTTGTTTTTTGGTTTAAGACAAGGTCTCACTATACAATTCATGTTGGCCTTGAGCTCACTTTGTAGCCCAGGCTGGTCTTGAGTTTGCAGTGATCCTCTTGCCACAGCATCCTGAGTGCTGGAATTACAGGTGCACGCCACACACCCAGCTTGTATTTTTAAATACTCTATTGCTTGAAATAGAGATTCTGTTGATTTTCATTTTGTTTAAAAATTTGCTCAGATATTATAAAATTGAGTTAAATCAGTTTTACAGTTCCAGACCTACATGTAGAAAGATGCTGGTGGTGGTCAGAGCGCATTGTTTATTAACCTATTTAATCTAGCAAGAGTTTCTTAAATACTTTATCTCTTAAGCATTGAATACACATGCAGCAAAATGGACCCAAATAAAGCTAATCTTGTCTTTGATTCCTTTGTTTTCGCTTTGTCAATAGCCCAGTTAGGTTTCGGTTCTATCAGAAGTACTCAGATATGCAGTGGGCAATCGATAACTTCTACCTGGGCCCCGGATGCTTGGACAACTGCCGGGGCCACGGCGATTGCTTGAAGGAGCAGTGCATCTGTGATCCGGGATACTCTGGGCCCAACTGCTACCTGACCCACACTCTGAAGGTAACGGCGCAGTGGACAGAGCGTTTGCCCACCTTCAGGCTGTGTCTCGGGACCACCTGTTGAGTGAGACTAACAATCTGTATAAAGACTGAGTCTCCCAGGAAATAGACCCTGTGGATACAACACGCCAGAATATTCAGATCAGGTTCCAGAACAATCTGCCTGATTCATAAAATCAGCCAGCTTCACACATTAAGGAACATAGGCACTCCCACTGTGTTTACTTTCAAAAGTCAGTATTAAGCTTTTAGCTTCCTTTTTCAAACGATGCACTGTTTGAAGGAAGGTATTGTTATTGTTGCCATAAAATAATTAGATATACTGTCATACAAGAGCACATTTTCAAATGGGCTTAAGCAGCGTCTAAATTTTCATTGAGAAAATTCTGCATCCTGATTTATTGGCTGCTAAAATATGGTCATGTATTAAGAATAAGGAGGCCATTTCTGGGGTTTTAGCTGTTTCATTATTATTTAGGCTGCAAAGCAAATACAGCCGCACAGCATCCTTGCCACGTATGCTTTCTTGCTGTGAGTAAGTAGCATTTGCTCATTAAAACAATCAGAAGTGACTGGCTTAGAAAAGCACAAATTATTGAAAGCCAACCAATGAGTAGAAAATGACGTAAACAAAGCGTGTTCGTCATTTTTGTTTTCTCCAAAACTTTGAAATTAAAAATGTTAAGAATGAAGTTGAAACAGTGCTTAATTATAGATTCAGAAGCCACAAGAAATAAACAAATCTAGTTTTTTTGTGAACATTCAGGTTGTATTAGTATTCCCCATTGGAGAAGGAATTATACAAGTCTACATGATTAACTACGACTCAGCTCCTTCTAATGAGAGTTTATATCGCTGACCACGCATTTCTTCAGGCTCATTTTCTTACATATAAACCTTCAGTTATCAAAACTGTGTCCATTTGCTCAGTGAGTGAAATAAAGGAAGGACTGGTAGGTGACCGCGTATCTTTACCGAGTTGATTGTGCCCTAAGTTTAAGAAAAAAGGGTCCACTTAAACCACACAGAGAGCAAATAGGTACCAATTCTAAAGAACTGGATAAGTATAGTTTTTCTGTATACAGTTATTGCAATTTTAGCTGTAATACTTTTCATTATATGTTTCCATCATTTAAAAAATTTATCTCAAAAAATGAAATTAAATAAAACTTTAAAATATCTCAACCTAATTCATATCTATATTAAGGACAAAATGAATGTATTATGAACAGAATGGATAGAAAAATTAAGATATTAACCACGATATGGGAAATAAGCTAATTTTACATAAAAGATAACCATGGAACTTTGGTACTTTTATCCACCCTCTTTGGGAAGCAGACGATCCCTGTTTGTTGATGATTCCTAGTGAAAAGGATAAACTGGAGACCCAGGAAAAACATTTTATTCTAGATTTTGAATATTTCTCCCCATTATCATATAACTTTGCTATGATGAACTCAATATGAAATGTCTGGCTTTTTCCTAATTTGAAGCCCTATTTCCTTTAATTTTCAACAGGAATCTTTGATTTCAGGTGTTCCTGGCCAGACACAAATGTATTCAGGGTTGAAGGGGTTTGCCCGCCTCTAGTCCCTACTGTAGGTGACCACAGTCCACTGAGGACTGCTGGGAAAGATATAAAAGACTACTCTTGTCTTACTCCTTTAATTTTATTTTGTGCACATTTAACAATAGAATAAAACAATAGTACTTGTTTATACTACGTAAATAAAATATCTGTTTGGAAGTGTATGCTTAAGTAATTTTTTACAAATAGGACTGTTACCATCGTCTACCATCATTTAATTTTTAAGATTTCCTCTAGGCCTTCGATTCTAATTAGCAAGCATAACTAAGTAGTTGAAATGATCTTCAGCATATGATAGAAAATAGAACTATGTTTTATTTTGCCTTTTCAAAATATCTTTGGAAAACCATTGAGAGTGACTCTATTTTTTTAAATTTAATTAACCGTATTGTCCTACGTATCCATTGGTTATATGAAATTGTTATCCTTAACCACATCCCACCTTTCCTGCCAGACCTTCCTGAAGGAGCGCTTCGACAGTGAGGAGATCAAGCCTGACCTGTGGATGTCCCTAGAGGGGGGAAGCACTTGCACGGAGTGCGGAATTCTCGCCGAGGACACGGCCCTCTATTTTGGGGGATCCACTGTGAGACAGGCTATTACTCAAGACTTGGATCTCAGAGGTGCAAAGTAAGTCCATTTTTTGGTTATCTTTACTGCAATATAGGAAATTGGCCCCAGGCAAGGAATACACGTGTGCATGAAAATTTTACCCAGGACTTGAGTTTCTCATTCGCTGTTCTGATGGAGCATGTGTGCCCGCATTTAGGTTCCTGCAGTACTGGGGACGCATCGGTAGTGAGAACAACATGACCTCCTGCCATCGGCCCATCTGCCGGAAGGAAGGCGTGCTGCTGGACTACTCCACTGACGGAGGTGAGCCACCGTGACTGCTGTGTTATGTAAAACCCACCCAGAAATGAATGGAAGGGAAGTCACGTTACAAAATAAACTCCAAACTTTATGAATAAAGAAAACACCACTTAAGGAATCAACTTACACTTGATTAGGAGTAATAAAATTATATACTCTATACAATTTCCTAAGTGAAAGATCATCTTTAAAACATTTTAAAGCATTTCAAAAGTTTTTGTATAAACAAGCATGTAGTAAATATTATGGAGAATCCAAAAGAAAATTTTATTAATTGCTAAAGACAATATTCTGAATTCATGAATGTGTTATAGTACATTTTAATGAAATTGTTTCATTATTTTGGAATAACTAATTCCAGACTAGGAATAGCACAAGATCTTTAGAAAATATGCTTTAGACAAATATCATTTGTAATAACCAGCTAATGATACGTGGATCTAAAATACTTTAGTCCTTTCAAAAGATGTTTTCTTAAGTTATTTAAGCATTTCACCCATAGGCTCATCAAGTAATAAGAGATAAACTTCATATCAGTTCAATGAATTACAGCTGCATGGAACTACGGTAGCTACATTTTTAAACACTGAAAGCCATCCTCTAGAAACATGGATATGTCTTATTATTTGTCAGAAATAATGCCTGTAAGGATCTAGAACCAAATTTTGAAAACAAAAAAAATGCATCATTTTTACTCTGTGACATTTATTTTATTCATGTTTCTAAACATCTTTCCCATTCCATCATGGCTCATTTTGAAATTATATTTGTAAGTAGTGAATACCTACATGAAAGTCTGCAAAGTCAATCTAGATTTTCTGTTTGAAGAGTTCTCTGGGGAGCTGGTAATATCTACTGCACTCTGCTGATTGGTTAGAGGGGTTTTCCAGATGGGTTACAACATTGGTGTATTTGTCTCTGTAGGAATTACTTGGACTTTGCTCCATGAGATGGATTTCCAGAAGTACATCTCTGTCCGACACGACTACATCCTTCTTCCCGAGGACGCCCTCACCAACACAACTCGCCTCCGCTGGTGGCAGCCCTTTGTGATCAGCAATGGAATCGTGGTCTCGGGAGTGGAGCGTGCCCAGTGGGCACTAGACAACATTCTGATTGGTGGAGCAGAAATCAACCCCAGTCAACTGGTGGACACTTTTGATGATGGTAAGACCCAAGGCCTTGAACCGTTCTCTTCCCTTGTCAGCCATTTGTCTGTGTATTTTCCCCTGAGTTTCTACGTAGAGAGCACATAGGAGAATGCCTCGCACATCCTCCTGCTCTACGACCTTCAGAGTTGGCTGCTCATGGAAATGTCAAGAGACACTTTCACAAATCTAGGGAAAGACAGAGTGTCTATCTTAAACGTCATTTGGAATTATAACACCCCAAATAACCTCCATTCTTTTCATTGCATATTGTTATCACTCAAACAGTGCACCAAGAACTCTGCGACGGGGCAAGTTACCCATTTTCAAAAAATGCTAGTAATCCTTGCACTAGAATGCACATATAGTGCTTTTTCTAAATTTGAGCTCTCATCTTGGATTTTTATGAAAGCAGTTTAAATAAGATTAAAAATCCATCCTCAAGAGTAAGCAAAAAGCTAGAACATAAAGATGTAGGCATTTCAACAATCAGCCCAGAAGATAACATGCCACATTGCTTCCCGCTTACCTTAACAGAAGGTGCCTCCCACGAAGAGAACTGGAGCTTCTACCCCAACGCAGTCAGGACGGCAGGATTCTGCGGCAATCCATCCTTCCACCTCTACTGGCCAAACAAAAAGAAAGACAAGACTCACAACGCTCTCTCCTCCCGGGAACTCATTATTCAGCCAGGATACATGATGCAGTTCAAAGTAAGGGAAAGCGGCTTTTATTTGGTATGTGAGGGAGAATGTGTATTTGGAAAACTGTAAGGAGTGATTGAGTTCATTCATTAAGAGCCACTGTAGCTTATGCATAAAGAGGTCCTCTTCCACCAAGGCCTTTGTTCACCAATGATTATTTGAGCATAAGAATCTCTAGGAGGCTCATGCAGGAGGGTGGGAAGTTTGAGCCCACCCTGCTGTGACCTAGTGACAGTGTGACCATGTCTCAAGCTGAAACAATTTTCTTAAAGGGGTGGGGATATAGCTCAGTGAAGAGAGCCTAGACTCAGTCCCCAGGATCACACTACACACACACAAACACACACATGCATGTGCACACACACACACCCGCATAATTTCCAAATATGTAGGGACGTAGCAAGAATGTAACTGTATTCTATCTCATACATGTACTTTGATTTCAGTTTCACAAACCTTCTAAATGAAAGCCTCAAATGTGTGCCTTTGCCTACTCCGAGCTCTCTGGAACATTCTTATGCTGAACAATCTCTCTGTCCCGTACTGTACGCCTATTAACGTACATCAAGCTTCTTCCTCTGTACTTTCATTACTGGCCATTCTCACCACTGGAATTTTGTCCAGTCTTCTGACTTCAAGTATTGTATCTTGCAAAGCAAATCTCAGATCTGCGCATCTAACCTTGAGTGGGTCACTAACAATTAGCTCCACGTTTTCAGAGTCTGCTCCACATTTCTACCTTTTCTCACTGGTGCCTCAGCTCAACACGTCCACCCGTGAGCCTGTGTCTTCCCTCCGCACGCCAGCGCCTCTTCCTGATGTTCTTGTTTCTGTTGAGGACTCCTCCTTCCACCAGTGAACCGGCTTCAACTGTTAACATAATTTTTGATTTTTCACTTCTTACTTCGCATAGCTAATCAGCTCTGCACGCTTCCCTTCTCACTTCAGTGTTCTTGCCTTCCACCCGCCTCTCTGTTTGCACTAATCCACCTCCATTCTTGCCCTAATTAGGCCAGTTGTCCACTCCGTCCTCTTTTCACCCCACTTCTCTCCCCACTGCTACCTGACTGATAGCACAGCCTGACTGACCATTACAGAGGACAGCCCTGGGGTCAGAACCCCACTGCTGATAAAACTTCAACAGCTCCCCACTGCTTACCAAGTTAAAACCAGCCTTAGACTAAACCAAACTCAACCAACTTTTCTAATTCTTCTAACTCACTCTTCTGGGTATTCTCCACGTGGATCTGAACACACTTCCTGCTGGGCCCTGCATCAGCATCTGCTCACACCCTCCTAAGTGTCTCCCTCCAATCCACCCCTCACAGCCACTTCCCATTCTCGTGGGGCAGCTCACACGCACCCTGTTTGATGGGTTATTTTCTCAGCCATCAATGAAATGCAATAGGGGGGCTGGAGGTTTAGCTCAGCGGCATAAGCACCTGTCTTGGAAGCAGGCAGTCCTGAGTTCGATCCCCGGTACCGATAAAAACGAAAAAGACAAAAAAAAAAAAAAAAAAAGAAATGCAATGACTCCTTCCTATAGAGTACCACAGCCTTTTATTTATATCCTTTAAATCGCCATTGCCATTATTAGACTTTCTCATTCTCCCTTTGAATTCTGAGCTATTTTATTCAGGAATGTGTGGCCGGAAGTTTTTGGAACCAATCTTCCCTGGTATCAGCACTGACACATGACTTGTTGATTAAGTAGATGATTAGGATTTAAATCGGAATCGCCGTATTTTATAGCACTTATACATTATTAATGATTCAAACATTTAATTGCATATTATATGGAAAACTTTTATTCATATGGAAAGAAGAGAAATCCCTAAGAATGAATATTAAGTAATTAAAATTGCTATTTTCAATTCCAAATAAAAATTGAACAGTAGTACCAAGAAGCCAGGATATTAGTGAAAATGTTTCATATTAATAAAATGTCTGATTTCTTTCCATAAATTCTCTTCACGTTACTTTTTTCTTATCCAATTTTGCTACTAATTAAATTGATAGGAATAGGACCTTATAAAACCTTAATTCTCAGCTCCATGGAAATTACATGTCCCTAACAGAACTCAAAAAAAAAAAACAAAAAATGTGTTCTTCATGTCCTAAAAGACTGCTCTGTAAAATCTCCTCCAAACAGTTCTTCATTAGCAATTATAGCTACAACGGAGTGGGATGGGATTTTTTTATATATTGCTTATTAGTGCCTATTAATTTTATAAAATGTTGGGTTTCATGTATGCAGTGTTTGCATACATACATAGAACAGATTGATCATGTGTTCATTCCCCCACTGCAAGGGATGGGATTTCCAGTTACCTGATGTCAGTCATCGGTCATTCTTGCCTGTGTGTTGATCACTCACGTTTGCTTTAGATCGTGGTGGGCTGTGAAACCACTTCCTGCGGCGACCTCCATTCCGTCTTGTTGGAATACACTAAGGATGCAAGGTCAGTGAAATCATGTTTTGTACTGTTTCCAAACTTAAATGCTTAATGTAAATGTTTGTTTTTAAGGCAAATGCTACAGAGAGGGGCATTCTTGTGTCTTAGAAGTAGAAGTTCATTATATTTTCACACAATTTTTATTTGTATAAAATTTATGCATCTTCAAATCTTCCTTCAAACAAGAAAAATTTCTTTTTATATTAAGAAACAATTTGTCCTTAGAGTGGAATGTTTTTATTTACATTGCTCCTGTTTAATCAACTTTAGGGAAAAAAATTTTTTTAACTTTAGAGAAAAAACTCCTACATTAATATCTTTTGTCTTAAAAACAACACATGTGTCATAGGTTCGCCACCTCTGCCCTAGATGAATTACATCCATCAAGCTTATGAATCTGTTACCAACACCCAAACCCAGTTCAAAGTGTCCTTCCGAGGACTGGTGTCAGCTATAGGGCTGTGGCACCTGTCATGCAGATGAGACTTCTGAAGGAAGGGCCTTCTCATGTCCCCCTGCATGCCACAGGGACTGTCATCCCGAATGCCTGGAGATGGCTGAAGGGGCCACTTGAGGTGACACAAAAAGACACAGGAGGCTCTGCCCTGTAGACACCTGATTTGGTTGTCACCCATTTCTGCCTGATGTTAGGGAACTCCACGAGTGGCTTTGTATGATTTTTCCTTTTTCTGTGGGAGGTCAGGTGTGGAGGGAATTTCTCAATGTGATCAGCAGAGCTACTGAGCTCACTGGAGGTGGGATTTTTTTAAGCAATGAACGATCTGAATGTTGAGCCACCGTACAGCTCCCAAAACACATTGAAGAAAAGTCTCATGCAGTACAATAATTTGTTGATGTTCCTGTCTCCTACCATCGCTTTCAAAAATTAATTAAATTGAGTTGGCTTTGGAGTGACAGTTTGTCAGTTGTCTAGAAATATGTCTCTGTGACCTGACATTTATGGGAAGAAGTCCCTGGAGCCCATCACCATGCATGCTGGCTTGTGTCTGTACATATATTGGTGTGCTGTTAGAACACACCTCATGGGAAACTATTTTCTACTCTTCTCTTCGTGATACGTAATTAAAAACACAGGAAACTCACATGGACGTGCTTTTGTCCCACCGCGGAGCTCTACCTTGGCGTTAGATTAGTGCTCTCTAGTTCTCTTCCGCTTCGCCTGTGCACCTCTCCCTCTTCCCGTAGGTCTGATTCCTGGCAGCTCGTCCAGACCCAGTGCCTGCCTTCCTCCTCGAACAGCATCGGCTGCTCCCCATTCCAGTTCCATGAAGCCACCATCTACAATGCCGTCAACAGCTCGAGCTGGCAGAGGGTCACCATCCAGCTGCCCGACCACGTCTCCTCCAGGTGGGTGGACGTGAAGCAGACTGAGCGCAGCTGTCTGCCGGTCTCCAGGGACTCATGAAGGACACGGAGAACCCTTGGGGAAGAGAAGTGAGACCCAGAACCTAGGACCGTCCCCAGTCTCCCTCTCTACTTGCTGGTCCATACCCCAAATGGGGATTGCACACCCCCCCCCCAAAAAAAAACATAAGAAGAAACAGGAACGGGTTTGTAAATGATTCCATGATTCCTAGGTCTTGGATTTTAACTACACATCACATGTGTATGTGCCAAACTCACTCATTCATGTGGCTTGAATGATGGACCCTACCAAAGACTAGAGTGGGTACCAGTTCTGCCCTGGAGTTCTGCTCTCCCAAAAGCTGTACGTCCTGATCAGATGCCCCCGGTGCAGGGTTGGCAGCTTCACAGAGCTAACCATAAATGGATGGTTTGCCATCTTACTGGACCAGCCTTCCTTTTACTTAGAGATCTAAAAGTTTATTCACCTCTGTCTTTGCGGGCTTTAGGGAGACAACTGGGGAGCCCCAGAGGCAGAGGCTGGGCAGGTCCAGGGTAACCAACAGCCTACTGACTGTCTCCTGCCCTCTGTGTGTCTCTCAGTGCCACACAGTTCCGATGGATCCAGAAGGGTGAAGAGACGGAAAAGCAGAGCTGGGCCATCGACCACGTGTACATCGGCGAGGCCTGCCCCAAGCTCTGCAGCGGGCACGGGTACTGCACCACGGGCGCCGTCTGCATCTGCGACGAGGGCTTCCAAGGTGTGACCCCGGGGTGCAGTGGTTGATGGGGGCATCATGAGGTCCCCTCATCTTAACATGGATACACTGGAAATGGCTAGAACTCCACATGGACATGTTTGAGATGCAAAACACACTCCTGGTCCTGGAGTCATTATCTTTAGAATGAGTTTTCAAGCATAGCTTGGTAACACTGAAGCCCACTCAAGATAGTCCATAAATACAAATATAGGAAGATACCAATGTAGATAAACCCACGGGGATCTTCTCTAGTATCTCACATCCCTGTCTTTATCACCCTGCCCCACACACACACACCCCAATACCTCATTTCCATTTCTCAGCCTCTCTCCCTCCTGGCCATGCTGCCCATCCTGAGAGCTTTGCTAGTGTCCATTTGCCTCTGTCCCTGCATCCTCAGCCTCTTCCCACCGCAGGTGTCACTGTCCCCCCAAGAAACACATTTTAACTGGGCTGCTTGAGGCGGAGTATATAGTTAGGTCAGCGTCCGCTCCACCCCTCACACCACAGGAACCTCCCGCCACCTGCTGCAAGGCCTGCATCCCTGCTTTCCTGGAGCCAGTGCTGCTGCCAGACTCCAGCCTCTGCCACCACAAGGTTCACTTTGCATAACTGCCATTCTGTCCTATCCTCATAGCCTAGTACTTGGCACACAGCAAAGCTAAAGGGTCTTTGACTGAATCCTTACGCCGTCTTACGCATTATTAATACATAGCATACACCAGTCCATTCTTTGGAGTCATTTGGTGTTCATCATATCCTCATAAACTACCTATGGTTATGACAATTATCGCCACTTGTAAAGAAACTGAGACTTGAGGGGTTCAGGTGATTTGCCAAAGATCACACAGCTAGAAAACGTCGGAAAGATCTTTCCCATCAATACTGTTAGTTCTCGTAGCTGAGAGATTTATCCAACGAGGGTCAGAATTACACAATTTCCCCAAGCATACAACGTTAGGATCGGTGTATCTGAACCCTGGAGCAGGATCTATTTAATTTCTCGGTTGGTGCATGTGAAATGAGTAGGTTAATGTGGACTGCTGCACGTGTCTGAGGTTAGGAATTCGCCCTCTCCTTCCTCCTCTGTTAGTACTGCTGCTGAGCCCAGCTGGCTCTGGCTGCACATTAACTGAAGAATTTTAACTTTGGGCAAATTAATGGATCAAATGTCTCACAAGATGTGTGGAATCGGCTCTCGCTCCTGGTCCAACAGAACTATGACTTGGAACTATCCCGGACTTTTAGAAAAGGGTCACGGTTTCAGGCAAGGAGAAATGCAGGAGCATACACTTGGCCAGCCCACTGCCTCACTGCTTCAGCTCAGTGGTCTCTGATGCTGCCAGTTTGTTCATCCCAGGATCAGTACTGAATACTTTGCCGTGCCAGGTATTATGAGAGGTGGTGGAATCCACCAACGAATTAACACCCAGACCCTTTGTTCAGAGATCATCAAACACAGAACTGGAAGACAAGAACATGACCTATTTCCACAAATCACACCAGGAACAAAAGAAATTAGATCAGTCCCTCGTGCCAGGGTGAGAGTCCTCTCTGGAGACCTAACCTGATAAACACCGAGGGCCTGACCCGGTGCTGTGGCGTTTGAATAAAAAAGATTTACACAAGAAAATACAATAGCACTTGCATGTGTTAATGAACATTGATGGAAAAATAATGAGATTTATTTGTAACAATGAAAGCCAGTAACAGCTGACAACAGAAGGGAAACATTTATTTATTTTTTATTTTAAAGAGGATAAAACTCAGAAAAATAAAACAGAATAAAACCAATCAAAATAAACTAGTATAAATGATACAGAACTTTAAAATCTTACAAAATCAACAATGGTTAGCATAATGCCTTTTGTTATCTTCAAAATAGCTGCAGATACCTTCAGACATAGTAAAAATCAAACAGAAGGAAGAGAAACAATAAAAACAAGGCAGTGAACACAATAAAGGACTTCAAAACAATGAACATGACATAGTTTCCAGGCAGGGATCACCTCCTGGTGAGGCCTGGTTCCCCCCCCACCCCCACATTCCACAAATGGCCCTGACTCACAGAGAGAGGCTTGGGTCTGGCTGTCCCCACTCCAGCAGTGGCCCACACATGGCACTGGTTTGCAGTCAGGGATCACCTCCTGGTGAGGCCTGGTCCTTTCTCCCCCACTGTCCACCAATCAGGGAAGCATTTATATGTGGGCATCTGTATCTGCGTGGTGTTTTGCTACTGGAGCAGCACAACCATGGCCCAAATCTAACAGAGACACCCATTCATCTCCAGTGAGCCTGTCTGTTCCAGCTGAGTCTGATGCCTGTGACTGTTCCCTTCCTCTAGGTGATGACTGCTCGGTTTTCAGCCATGATCTTCCCAGTTACATTAAAGATAACTTCGAATCAGCCAGAGTCACAGAAGCCAACTGGGAGACCATTCAGGGGGGTGCGATCGGCAGTGGCTGTGGCCAGCTGGCACCTTACGCCCACGGAGACTCCCTCTATTTTAATGGCTGTCAGATAAGGCAAGCGGCTACCAAACCTCTGGATCTCACCCGAGCAAGGTAACCACTCCCTGCGCTGTAGCCAGACTCTGGATTAGTGGTTCACTCGCTTCTTGTCCTCCATCCACCAGATCTGATCGTGAACTTTGTAGGACACGTGTCACTGAGCAGCGGAAACCTAAATGTCTTTTGAATTTGCTACAAGGAAACACTACATGCTTTAACAACTCAGTTTTCTTGGCTTAAATTTATTAGAAATTGCTTTTGTATTTCTTCACACATATTGGTAGATCAATAAACTAGGAAAAATAACCAAGCATAAAAAATGGCCAGGGATAATTTCTAGCAATACTGTAGCTCACTTAAGCTTGCCTCCAGTCAAGCCTGTAAATACGAATACCTATATGAGGATCTGTAGAAAAAGAAACATATTTAGCATGTGTTAGTCCAGTGAACACATATGGGGTGAGTGGTTAAGATGTTCAATGATTCATATGCTAAAGGAGATTAGATGGAATAAAGTGGGCAGACACCAGGCAAAGGGCCAGTAGGGAAGTGACAGAGCACGGGAGGGTTGAATTTCCTTCCCCACCTTCGCTGTCCAGTTCTGCCTTAGCCAAAGCAAACACAGCTTCTCCTCTGCATAATCAGGAAGGAATTCCAAGGTTTGAAAAGTGTTACAGGGCCAGGGATATAGCTCATTGGCATAAGCACCTATCTGGCAAGCACAGTATCCTGAGTTTGATTCCTGTTACCAAGAAAATAAAATAAAATATCTTTAAAAGTGTCACAAAGTGCTGAGCTGTTCCCCAAAAGCTGACGAGCATTCAGAAGCCAGGAGGGCACTTGAGAACCAAATGTTTGATTAATGAGATTGTGGATGTTCACTTGTAGCTTTCACTTTGGGAAATAGTAATAATGCGTTTCCAAAGATAAAAAGGCAGATATTGGCCCATTATATATTAGTAAACAATGAAAATATAATAAAACTAATTCCTGGATGGTAACCATAAAGATGTTAAAAGTTGAATCTACCCATTCCTATTTTTCCCCTACCAAAAAGTTATGGCTAATCCAGAAATAACCTGCCACTTTCCTTGACCACATATAAGCTACAACTAGGTGCTCAAGTAACACTTACACAGCATGTTGTACGAGTAACTTTATTTTACATCAATTCATGCACACACAAGTTTCCAGTCTGTTCTTTATTCAAGCATGTGCTGTAAATGGGCCACTCTGTTAATCACCAGGAATCATAGGGTGGTACATTTCCTATGTTTAAAAGCTATGTGTCATAAAGACAAGGCCACCACCGAAGAGCAGAAAAGAATCTCGAGCAGAAAAGCAGATGTGAGCCGGAGGCTCCATGCTCTAGCTCTGCTTTCCCTTGGCTCTGACCTCCAGACATCCTTTCTTTTTTTTTAATTTTTAATTTTTGGTACTGGGGCATCAAACTCATGACCGTGTGCTTACAAGACAGGCACTTATGCCTCTGAGCTAAAGCCCCAGCCTTGACAGCCTTTCTTAAAAGAGACACACTCACTTACCCTTGGCCAGTGCTGTGCAACACGGCACTATTTGTGGTGTGTGGATAAATACCATGTGCTTACTGCTTGTCCTCTCCCTGTCCTCACTGCCAGCATGTCCCCGTTATCAGTCAGAGAGTGGCAGGTGCGTCCAGTGAAACAGGCCAACAGGATTCCCAACATCATGAATGGAGGGCTTATCTTGGAGGATCAAAAACAGGGGCCTTCTGAGGTTATTTTTTAACATATCTAATAAAAATGATATAAACAGATTGCATTACTAAGTGATTTATATTATGTCTGTTTTACTGTACAGCTTCCCTGGAGCACCCAAATGGAACCTAAATAAAATGGTGTAGATTTGCACATAACCTATGCAAATCCTCTTGTACACTGTAAATCATTTCTAGATTCCTGATAGCACCCGATACAATATAAATGCTATGTGAACAGTTATTATACTGTCTAACCTAGGGTATAATAATAATAAGAGAATCAGGGCTGTTACTCGTTCAATACCAATGTGGTTTTTTCCCCAAGTGTTTCCTGCCTGTGATTGGTTGAACTGGCAGAGGTAGAGCCCGTGCGTGGAGACAGCCAGCTGCACAGCAAATCAGATGTTACAGATTTTAGGAATAACAAAGATTTTAAAGGAAACTCCTTGAACTACTCCCTGACTTCTGTCTAAAGCTGATTTCCCCCGTGTTTTTTTTTTTCCAGCAAAATTATGTTTGTTTTGCAAATTGGGAGCGCGTCGCAGACGGACAGCTGCAACAGTGACCTGAGTGGCCCCCACACCGTGGACAAGGCCGTGCTGCTGCAGTACAGCGTCAACAACGGCATCACCTGGCACGTCATCGCCCAGCACCAGCCCAAGGACTTCACACAGGCGCAGAGAGTCTCTTACAACGTACCCCTGTGAGTGGCCTAAGCAGGCGGGGTCTGGTGCCCGACCCCTGAGAGCCCAGAACTTGAGTGCGAACTGGGTAAAGTTACTGGACCAGTGCAGTGAAATTAGGCAGCAGCAGAATGGAGACAGATCCAGATCTCCAAAGCTGCATTTCTGTTTTCTGTTAGGACAAGAGAGGACTTTGAAACTAGGGAGAGAGGACTAGAGGTAGCGCCTAAATGCAAAGGCGCTCTTTCACAGATCTTTGTTTAAACGATATTTCTGGTCCTTTAGGAAACAGCATCTGCATTAGTCACCTGTCCGTGGCTGGGGCACAGTATTGAGTACCCACAGCTCAAAGGAAGAGAGCCTTCATTTAGTTCAGGGTTTCTTGAGACTCAGCCAGGCTTGGCTGGCTCCAGGCAAAAGCACCGAGGTAGAAGGACACGGGAGAGCAAAGCTGACTGGGAAGTGGATCCAGGGATGGGGCCAGGGGCCAGGTGTAGACATGGCCACATCTCCCTGACCCTCCCAGTACACACCCAGAGAGTTTGTGCCTCCAGCCCCTGGGCAGCTCCCAAGCCAATCACGTTTGCATGGCCAAGCTCAGTCATCAGGAACATGTTTAATTTCCTGCCTGGGGTGCTAACTTGACATTTTACTGGGCACAGGCAGGTATATCAGTTTTGACCCGCATTGTTCACCGGTTTCTAGCACAGTGCCTGGCACTGAGAGCACTCTACATTGTCCGGGCATGTTGCTCTTCCAGGTCGGGCTAAGCAAGGGAGAGGAATGAGAGACTGGAAAATTATCAGCCCATGAGTGGCAAACTGATGTAATTCTGCTTAGGAGAGCATTCTGGCCTAAGCAGATCTGAAATCCATGCCCCAAATGTGTTGATTGACATTACCTGTTATAGTATCCAGGTGCAGTCACATACCCGGAAATTCTGCGACCCGGTGTTTAACTTTCTTGTGCTTCTGTCTGTGACCCAGGGAGGCACGGATGAAAGGAGTCTTACTGCGCTGGTGGCAGCCCCGCCACAATGGAACAGGTCACGATCAGTGGGCTCTGGACCACGTGGAGGTCGTCCTGTGAGTATCTACCACGTCACCCCGTGTCCATTTCGCAAAGGTGTGAAACTCCTTTGGTCTGGCATGCTCCTTCATTCAGTAGGAACTGTTCCTGGGGAGAACGTCCCCACAGGACCACTGTGCCTTGTACCCTTCAGCAACTGCAAATGGTAGCTGAAGTCAACCATGAGATAACAAAGTCGCAAATGTAGTTGAATGTATCTTAGGAAACTTCAGTAAGTATGACATTCATTTAAGGGTTGAAGGTATTAGTTTAACTGGGTAAAACAGAAGTCTCCAGGTGAAGGGGAAACAATGTCTTATGCCAGGTCGGGTTGCCTTTTAAAATAGAAATGACATCGAAAGAGGGATCTGCACTGGGCCAGATACAGGGTGTGAGGGGAAAATGCACCCAGTTACAAGCCCTGGTCTTAGCCATAGATGCCCGAGGTCTTCTCCATGTCCTGATGTAGCTGCAACTATCACAGAGAATCTGTGGGTTCAGATTCCTCTTGACCCGTCCCAGCATCTAAGAAGCTAAGAGTGTCCCCACGATCTCCCCCAGGTGACAGGGCTGTCCCCACCATCACCTGCCCACATTGACTGTTACCTCGCAGAGAGATGACTTGCTTTTTCTCTAACAATCTAGTTCCTGTAGAACTGGAATGATTATGTCTCGCCGGGTTCGAACCGATGGCTCCAAGTTGTCGGCAAGGAGAGGCGAATCTTCTCGGTAGATAGGTTCAAATGTTCATTCTGTTTACCAAATCTAGAATGAAATCAGTCTCGTGGCTGATTTCAGTCATTTTGAAAGCAAATTTAAGTGATTTTGAACTGGTGGGAAAACTACCAGCTTTGTTTTCTTTCGATCATGGCCATGAGCTGACTTCTCCGTCTTGAGCTAGCCCTCGTCTTAGTTCCCACTGAGGCACCTGCTTGCATGGCATCCATATCAACCCCCAGCTCCGACAGCAACCTGGTCCCCACACAAGCCCCCACTGTGCGCTCTGCTGCTTCTGGACCACTTGCTGGGCTCTGCCTCCACAAGACAGTTAAAGGTTAAGGAACAGTCTTAATCTAAACATGAGGCTGATGTCTTACCTAGCTCTCCATTTCCTCAGGCCACAAGACTCCAGGAAAATACAGAAATGTAGACTCCAAAATGCACACATATGAGGAGACCATAGAGAGATGTCCATATAGACCCAAATGCAAACACTTACTGTCCTTCCGGAGCAAGGATTCTCAGTCTGATTGAATGCCAGAATCACTTGGGAAGCTTCAGACAGTGTCAAGGAGTGTTCTGATGCTCAGGTCCATGCCTATGGAGATTTAAAATGGCTTTTGGTAGGAGCTGAGTATCGGTCAGATGATTACAACACTTTGAGACTTAAATTAGCATCAACAATAGCTTCCTGTCTTTCACATCTCTTACCAAGACAAATTGCATTAGCAGATGGGGCTTCCTGTGCTGGACAAAGCATCATCAACTCCTATGGAGACATCAAAGCTTGTCTGTCCTTGGGAGAAGACATGATGCTAATTTTGTCCATGATAGATCTAAGAATCCTTTACATATCATATATTTGAGTAGATATTTCATCTTCTTCCGCCCAAACAAGCAATTGCGGTTATCTCTTTTGAATTTCAGAGACATATCATGCCCAATAATTCCCTCCCTTGGGCTAAAGTTAGGGAAGTAGTGCAAATATCCATACAGCCCCTGGTCAGAAGCATCCCCTTTACAACTTCAAAACAGAAGCTTCACCACGCAGCCCAAGAGAACCTTCTGGAACTGGTGTTGATATTAATCTTTACAAGGAATTACCAGCATAACAAAAGTACTATAAGAATGAAATTCAGATTATATGAAATATCAGAAACTTATTGTTTTTGGCATTTTTCTGGAGCCATAAATTATAAAACTTTGTGTTTATTTAGTCTCCAGAATTTAAATGCTTTGAAGAATTATCACTGATGATAGGCAGTCTGCTCTCACCCTACATTACTGTATGCAGCTATCAGGACGCTAAAACACTTCAAATGAGGAAGACCATCACCACACGTGCATGCAGACTGGTTTTATTCCAAGTCTTTTATTTTCAGTGAGTCTTTTGAGAATTACAAATTAACACATATCACCGACTTTTTATACATATACATATGATTTTAAAAACAAATGCCTGTGACATTTCAAAATTTCTTAAAATCTAGGCTTATAATTTTAATATGTAACTATTATAACTTATTATATTACAAAGTATAATATATAATTTATAGAATAATATATAATTTGTAGAATAATACATAATTTGTTAAAATTATAGAATTATAGAATAAAGAAGGAATTATTTTCCTCACAGATAAGTGAGTTGTTTTCTAAAAACACAACCCTAAGGAATTCTATTTTCAGAATGATGTTCTCGATGTCTTGTTCTGATTTTAAGAAGTGTGACATTCTTTGAGAATGCTTTGAGAATGCTTTTTTACAGCACTCATTAATATGCCTTGGTATCTCCACAAAATAATTCACTTATTTGTGAGCATAAGATAAATAACTTCCATAGAACTGAGAAAAATAAGATGCAATGATTTTCCAAACTGTCTTCCAACCATCACTGGCACAGGGAAGCTGTAGCCAAAGTTCATGCCATAATCCCCAAATATCACTAACTATAATGTTGCACAGAAAATATGCATTTAAAATAGAGAATTAGAATACTCCATTTAGCCCTTTTAACTGAAAATATGCTCTTGCTTAGCTACACCTGTGTTGCAGAACATTAGTTACACGAGCTGGAGATGTTCCCCATTCTGGTGGCAAGAGCCCAAGTTCAGACAACAGGGCTACTAATGTTTTTGCAACTAACGGTTGAAGCGATGCATGCCTCACTTAAGAACTTTTAGGATACATTTTCTTTTCTAAGTGAAGACTAGCCTTAATCTAGCTTTATTACCAATGCTGCTTTTGTGCATATGCACCAAGGACACATGCTAAAACCCCATAAATAAAAACTGGTCACGCATGGTATCTTACACTGATTTTAACATCCACGCTGCCCATCTTAATCAAGAGACCTATGAGTTTGACGAGAACAAACTCAGCACTCTCGAAAGTATTTCAGAACTTAGGAGTGTGCGCAAAAATGAACGAGATACATATTTCTAACTTCCTGGTTTTTTTCTAAAGCACTACAATGTGGGAAGATCAGAAATTCATACATTGGAGATACAGGATGACAAACCTGTACTGTAAACATAAAAGCCATCCTTTGAGGATGTAACAAACAAAGTCCATGTGCCTGCTGCTTGTTTAGAGAGTGTAGTCTTCCCACTCTCGTGACGTTTTCCAGTGAAACCTAGCAAAAAAGGGGCTTCTTGATGATTAGCCCCTGTGAATCTGCCATAACACAAATGAACCCAAATATCAGATCATTCTTCCAGCCTCACTAGCTTACAAAAGGTCCCCATCCTGTAAAGTCTAATTATGTAGCATAGCACCATCACTGACAGCAGTGTCAGAAACCCAATTTCTCTGAATTCATCTGCTAGTGTAGGATATTTATTTTTGAGTAAATGTTTGTGAATACATTTGGGCAGATCCCTCACAAGATCCATGCTGGTGGGGCTCTTCTTAGGATAAAAGAGGATCCTTTGCCTTAAACCTTTTCTCTCGGGTTTTACACTTCTATCCTAAGAATCTCCCTCACCCAACTGCATTTCATTCACACATCACATTTCCTGTGTACACGTGTCCGCCACACCCGTCATGTGATAATGAAGTGCGCTGATTTTTGCATGTGTACCTTGAAAGCGAATCACTCAGTAAAAAAGCCTTTGTGAATCAATTTACTAAAAATGAATTATTTCCACACTGACTGAGAATTGAAAACCAATATGTTGCTAACGATGGCCTTCAACACATATATCAGATTTTAATATGAATTCCATCATGACCATCCCCTCGTGCTATTCATCATCCAGATACTGTCACGTTTTTGGCACAAATGATTTATGGAGATGGACATACTGTTTGTTGCAAAGCATATTTATTAAATTTGACTGTTATCTGATGTAGAGGACTTCTGCTTTCTAAAGCCTGTATTAATATATTAATAAATATATTCAGGAATTAGTATTTCCTAAAACACAAATAATTGAAAAATCAGATAAAACTGATTGTGATAATTAAACTATTTATACTTTATATGCAACATTTATGCCAAATGTAGTACTATAGCTACTTGTACCTTGACATATGGTTATGAGCAAATATTGCATGTTGCATTACATTAAAAAGTTAAGTGTATGTATCTATTGGGTGTAGAAGAATAAGAAATAACTTGTTTAATTTTTATTTTCAAAAGAGATGAAAAATCCTATAGTGCGTCTAAACCCGATCAGACTTTTATGAGTAATCACAGTCCTGCATGCATTGAAAAGCATTTTTTAACTTGTGTTATATTTCATTATTTGCTGTCATTGGTTTTCCACTAGAGTAAGGTAAGTCCTCCTTCCTAAATTTGGGGAGCTATTGACTGTTAGCTTCATTGGTGTTACCAAAGCTCACTGAGTTTTGTAGAAGAGCTTTGCCACTGAAAAAATAATCTACAACTATAGCTCTAAATGCTTTTGGGGATACAAAGGAACATTTGACATTAGATCCTTCTCTGTGTTTGGCACTATCTTAGATGCCCTAGAAGTGACCACAGCTTATAAATGCGTTGAGGGTTAAAAAATCGGAAATGAGTGCAAAAAACCTGAGGGGCCTTGGTAAAATGTAATCAATGTCTTTCAAAGCCCCTCTCGTTCTGGGTCGCTTCTGTTCTAAGTCAATGAGTCAATTGGCAGAGGAGAGATTTGCTCATAATGCTTCTGAGTTCTAGATCCTGGCTTCCGGCTGGATGGGTCACCATCAGTGTACACTTACATTTGTCCTCTAAATGAGACACTTTGAAACTTAAGAAAGCTACCGGAGCATCTGCAAACGGTGCTGGAAGTGTTCACTGAATTCTTACAACTCTGTGAGGTACACGTCATCAGATGTTATTCTTACCTCCATTTAGCAAGAAAGAGACATACAAAATCTTATGGAGGGCGCCTGTGCCTGCACCCGCCCTACCCTATCTGTAGCCTTCCTGAAAATGCATGACCTCAACATTAGACGTCCTCTAGGCTGGGGAGCTCATGAGCTGCAGTGGTGGCACCCGTCTTACACTCACTTGCATTTCTCAAAAGCTGCTTCTGACAACCCATTAAAGTCTTATTTCTGCATTCCTATAGCTCTTCATTTGTTTTGAAAACATTACAAATCAGTAAAAATGCTTACATTGGTATGAGCTCCAATTCTTCATCACTCGTCTCCTTCAGAATGCATTAAAAATCAGTTCAATTATTTTCATAACAATAAGTACCTGTGGTTGTGGCTCTGGCAAGCACTAGTAATTTAAAAGAACACAGCCACTAGTTCTTCAGGAATCTCACATTTCCTGTGCAGAATCTGAGCCATATCTTATAACTCCACATGCTGTTTGAATTCCTCAAAGATCGTGGAAATTTTAATTGGCATTCCCAAGAAAACACTGAATCTCTTTCTCCCTTCTTACTTACTCTTCTAGGGTGAATTTTTAAATGAGCCTGGTGCTACTCACAACCAAAGTAAACTAATATGTCAAGTAGCATAGTGTGCCCTTGGATATAACCTGCTTTCACTGATTTTAGAATAAAAATTAATCTCTTATAACTACAATGAAGAAATAAATCTTTAAAAGTGCATTGCACCTGTTATTATTCATGATACTTTCTATAGCTGTACGTTTATCTGTGTCAAAAACAAAACAGGCTCATTCTTTTTTTTTTAATTTTTTGAAAATATACAACAGAACAAGACAGAATAGAGCCAACTAAGATCGTACAGTGAAATTGGTACAGAACTTCACAGCAGGTTATCAGGATAACAGTAATAGGTATCACAGTATATTTTGTTATCTTTATAATAGTTGTTCTTTCAATCATGTATATCAAATTGAGATAAAATATAGAACACTATAGAACTTATCAAAACAGAATACTGAATAGAGCAGTACCATTAATCAGAAAAGTACAAAACAGTAATAAAAATATTTGAACAGGCTCATTCTTAAGATGCATAAAAAAATTAAGTGTAAGATCTTTAAATCTGTTTTTTTAAAAGCTTCCCTAATGCTCACCCTTATAAGCTAGACATTTTAAGAAAGCACAGTCAGTGTTTAAGAACCATGCCAGTTTATTAAATGGTCCTAGAGTCGGAAAGCACTTTGTTGTAACTCCCCATGGTGCTTGATTTCTTTTAAAGGCTTATGAACTGGAAAAACTGTAAAATCTCATTAGCTTCCAACTTGACTCAAGAGATGCTTAGGTTTCACATAGTCAAATTACCAGTTACTATCATTTGGGAAGCTTAGAAAGTGTGATCATTTTTAATATAACTGTATAAACACTGGCATCTAAAGCAAACACATTACCATGCACGTACCCACCTTCTCAGGCATCCACATACACAACACTCATACATAAACATAGTCATAAGAAAGAGTATCCAGTGCACCAAAATGGCCTCTAAATTAGCTGTAAATTTCCACTATGAACTGATTTGTAAGATATCAAAGATCTCTAACCTGCTAATATTTATTTTTCACATATAAAGATGGAAAATTTTAATCAATTTCTTAAGAAGCAACTAACTATGCAGGAGAAGTTGCTCTAAAGCCATTAAGCATGCACAACTTTTAATAAAACTAATGTTCCTTTGTTTCCATATATTCATGTAACTTTCTTGTCAGTCTAGGTTGATCCAGATAACTAAATATCTTGAGTATTCTGAGTTTTATCTTTTTAATGTATTTTAACTTTTAAGTTTTCTTTTGGGTACTTTATAATTTTAAACGTGTTTTTGATAAAAATAATTTCATTGCTTTAACTTTGCAATTATTCCTTATAGTTAAAGAGTTATGATTTACAGCAGGAACCCAATCAGTAAGTCACCAAAAGTTCAACAACCACACCTTGGCCACCTTGGATCAGGCAGGAGGCGAGGTTGTGGTGTGGGTGGGGTGCTGGGGGGCAGACCCCCATGGCAGCAGACATTTAGATGTGGGGAGCCAAGTTACAAACAGACTCCCCTTTAAAACAGGAAGTGAACACTATAGGAGGTCAAAGTGGAAAATATAATTACTTCCCGAGTAGGGATAGGCAATAAAGGAAACGTGATTTTTGAGCAAGTAGAATACAGGCCCTGGATGTTGGCCAGTGAGGCAGTAAAAGAGACGGGAGCGGAGGTGGAATAGAGCAGTCTGTGTGAGCTGCGGCATCGGAAGGACCTGAACAGCAGATAGGAAACGTCTGGTTAAACTGGCTTAGATGCAACTCCATACACTGATGAGGTTACAAATACATTTTGACCAAGGATAAGCCAGCTTTGGAGGGAAAGTTTACAAAAATTGGTGTGCAAAATTGATTGTATACTCATGTGGGAAGATACACACATGTATTCCTAACTATTTCACAGTTTCTTTGCAGTGGAGTTTTTTCCTAGTGGGGGAGAATTGAGATAAGGAGGCTAATGTAGGGGCCTCAGCAGCTCAGGGAGAGGACTGCAGATGACCTGGGATGTGGAGTGAAGACAGCCAGGGCCAGGCTAAGATTCTGTGAACGCAGAAGCAGCGGGATACTTTCTCCTGACAGCTGAGCAGGGCAAGACCTTAGCTCACCGTCCTTTGTTTGTATCTCAGCTTTGCATAGACAGCAGTGAGTGCTTCCAGAATGCTGCTCATGGATAATCTAGCTCCATCCTTTACCTGTGCCCTGAAACCCATAACCTAGGTGTAGGAGTGCTATTGTCCCACAGAAGGGTGGGGTGGGTGGTGAGGCTGGCTGGGACTAAACCTGACTTTTTAATCTTTTTCTCTAAAAAGAATCTCTTCAATCTGCATTCTTTGCTTCTATTTTATAGTTCCTGGCAATTTGGTAATATAGGACGTTTTCTATCTGCTTTTCAGAGTGGAGAGTTGTCAGCACTTTATTGCATAAAATATATGTCAATTTCAGGTCTAGCTTGGCCTTGGGTTCTCATCACAGACACTGTGTCCTGTTTTAGTTCTATATCTTATTTCAACTTACATATTTTCCTTTAAGATATTTTATGGCCAGTTTTCACTTGTAATGATCAGATTCTTATTTTAAAGTTTTGGGTATTTTACAACTGCTACTAGTATCAATACTACACTGGATGAAACAGTGTCCCCGTGACACCTTGCAGGAATGATTAGCAGCCCAGATGACGCCTGATCTGTGCACAGTGACCCTTTCCCGTCCCTTTTTCCTAACTCAAGTGCATGTCATACGGACATTTATTGTACGATCACATCATGTGACATTACCCTGCCCTACATGTATTTTACATTTCCATGAAATTAAGGAGGAGAAGCTGTGGGACCATGTATTCAAGCAACTTGGTAAATTTGACTAGATTGATAGGCTCACACGTATAAGCTGCTTATATTGATGTTACACATATTCAGGTCGGTGAGTGCCATCCTGTCAGTGATGGTGGATCACGATCCTTCTAACAATCTATTTCTGCCAAAACTTTAGCAGCTACCACTGCTCATGTCCGTTTTTGGTATCTTCATCAGCTTCCCATGTGTACGTATGTAGGAATGTGTGTGTACCTCTGTGGAGGAATATGTAAGCACACAGGTACAGTTACACATTCGACTATACCCTCAATATTCTATGACATCTTTTTAATGTAGTGTCTCTTTCATAAAACCATGTTTATACAACACAACCCCGGGTGCTTATTGCTTGAGAGACACAATAGAATCCAACATTTTAAGAAAAACTCACTTCTTTTATAGCCTGAGACTGCATAAACTAGGAGAGTTTGGCTAATAAATTTGTTTTTGCTTTGTAAGCTTCAAATAAAAATGTCCCCCAAATTATTTTTCCTAATTGTGAAAGACATATGTGAATCTAGTGATGACATTAAACATACGCTTTCTCTAAAGTAAGAGTTCACCACATGTTTTCAGGAAGAGTTCATGAATCAGATTAAAATTCCAAGCCCAAGAGTTTCCATCTGATTTGGCTATACACCAAGAGAATTTGCTTTTTTCCAGTTCTTCGCTGGTTTTGGGGGGGAAAGGAGGGGGGATATCTTCAGGGCCCAGGCAGTGAATATGGGTACCAGTCTTCGGTCCTGTGGTCCTGGGTAGTAAAGTTAGTGTGACTTACAAACCTGGAATTTCTCCGGGGTAGGTCCCTCAGGACCTAAACTGGATTGCAGCTTCCGTGATGGAACTTACATGTCCTTCCACCTCTCCCTCCCGACCTGTGTCCTTTGTTCCTCACAGCACTCGCAAACAAAATTACATGATGAATTTTTCACGGCAACACGGGCTCAGGCACTTCTACAACAGAAGACGAAGGTCACTTAGGCGAAACCCATGAAGAGTCAAAAGTTTATTTTTCCTTCCCACGTGTGACGTGTTGCTTCCCTTCTTTGAAACCTCTCACTGCATCTGATATCAGGAAATACGAAGGACTCAGTGGTCTGAGTGTCTACCGCGTCCCCACACTGTGAACCAATGGCAGGTGACTTCTCGGCTTCTCAGTAAATGTCTTCCTGTGGATATGTCTGTGAAAACTCTGATCTGTTGAAATTCCCATTACAATGGCCGTATTGACAATAAATAGTTCAACAACAATGACAAAAAGTTTAAGCACAAACTTTTAAAGAGCTTTTATGTTTCCAATGACGTCTAGCACAGTATTTAACCTTCTTGGTCACAAAGCTCTGTAAAGTGAACTGTATTTCAGCTTTGTATCATGTTTTATATGATTAAATTATCATTGTCCTCTATGTATTCTCTTCTGTGATGTAACACATCGAAACTGTATTTACTTGTAACACTGCAATATTTTGCTGCTGGATTTTGATCTACTTATATTCTGCAAAAAGTTAATGGAAATACCTATTCAAGAAGATGGATGTAAAGATATTGTATCTCCTTTAATATACTCTTTACAATGTATGTTGATTTAGCGTTGTTTTGTGGATAAGAAAAATGCTTGACCTTGGAATATTTTCTACTTAAAGGATTGTGGATGAAGACCCTATTTCCCATCCCCAAAAACAAAATCCCATTTCCTTGTCTAAAAAAATTTTTTTGAAGTGTTCTGTGGCTGATTTACTAACTGTAACTGCCATCTTGTGTCTGTGGTAACAAAGTGATTTGTAAAACAGTGGGTGTTCTTTTCATTGTGTTTTCGTGGGTTTTTCCTGCGGGTCATCTTCATACCTTCTAACGGAGTTAAACCAACACCAGCAGCATTCGAATGGCCCTGTAGCCCTGACGTCCCTACTAGCAAAATGGAATGTTACACTCGGATGGACCAAGCTAAAAGCCCATGCTTAAATAAAAATTATGTCCAAAATCTATTTAAAGTTCATTTGTTTTAATTGTGTGTGTGTGTGTGTGTTGCTTGGATGGAATCCAAGGCCACCTCCATGCTACACAAGTGCTCTATCAATGAGCTACACCTCCGCCCAGCCCCTATCCACATTCATTTTTAATTACATTTTATATAGGATTTATAAGCCTGGTCAACTTCGGAAAAGATGTCAGATAGATGTGCTGATTTTCTGTTTTGTGGTTGGTAATAGCAATTATGAAGTCACCCTTTCAATTTAGCTACATTTTGGGTTTTTTTTTCCTTTTTCTTTTTTATTGGTACCAGGGATCGAACTCACGACTGCGTGCTTGCAAGGCAGGCGCTTATGCTGCTCAGTTAAATCCCCAGCCCCAATTTAGCTACATTTTGACTTATTCAGCTTTTTCTACTAATCACTCTGTAATTACACTTTTCAAAAAGGCCAGTGAAGAGTCCTAGAAATGACTTGGTTCCCAAGCACTTTGTTAGGTGCTAACACAACACCTGGCCATCAGAGTGGCCCATGCCTCCCTTGAACAAATAATGACTGAGTGCTGGCTCTGGGCTGTGCACTATGCTGAGGACGGAGGGCACCATGGTGATTCACACGCTCTCCCTGATCACTTTCATTAGGCTGTTGGATTTATGGGTTTCTGACACAGTAGTTTTAAATCTAAGAAGAAAGCCGGAGCCAAACAAATGCACCATGCCTCCTTCTGGGCAGAATTCCCTCTCCGGTCCTTACAGCTTCCTGCGGGGCTGCACCCGGGTAGAGCCAGGATTTGTGGGCCCCAAAGCTTGTAACATTGGCAGACTCTCTTTAAGAGAAAGAATTCAGAATTATGAATGTAAAACTAGGTACAAAGTGAGTGTTTACAAAAAATTTAAAAAGTTGTATTAAAACCACCTTGCGACTCCCTACATACCTGTTAGAATTGATGGAATTAGAGACTAACAATACCAAGTACTGGGAAGGACGTGGGAGGCCGGAGATGCTCTTATACTGCTGATGAGAATGTGAAATCATTTTGGAAAGCAGTCTAGCAGCATCTTAGGAAACAAAACTTACACTTACTATGGGATTCAGCTAGTCCACTCATAGATATTTACTCCAGAAATGAAAGCCTGCATAAACGGGAAGAGAATGACACTAAGACAGTTCATCATTCAAGTAAAAAACCAAAATTACGTCCCTACACACACCACTACCCACAAATACAGATGAGTTAAAGACAAAACATGAGAGAAGAAGAAAATACCTTAAAGGGGCGATGGGATGGAAGGGTTACTTGAACATGATACCAAACATATATACAATAAGGAAAATATTGGAGGGCTATGGACCCAACATGTTCTTTTTAATTTTAAAAAGATAAAAACAATGATACAGAATTCCATGACAATATACTAGGGAATTAACAACGGTTAATATATTGCATATTGTTTTCTTCAAAATAGTTGCTCAAATTCTAAGATATAAGCATGCAAAATTGATCACACAGTAAAGCACCAACGGTTTTCTTCAATGAGCTGATAGAAATTACTAGTATAATTGTCTTAGATACCTTGAATATGTGTATTTTGTCTTTTCCCTTCTTTTCTCCTTTCTCTCATCCCTGTTGTTCTTTCCTTTTGAGCACTTTCTCTCCCTTTCACAATATCTATTGTAGATTCTGGCTCTTATTTACTCTTTTAGTTGCTTACGCTAGGGAGACAATATCATGTTTACCCATGCAAGTCTGATTTATTTCACCTGTGAGTATGGTCTCTAGTTGCATTCATTGACCTATAAAACCTCAAGTTTATATCTTTATACCTGAGTAGCACTCCATTGTATAGAAATATCACATGTTTTATCCATTCCTTGATTGATGGACATTTGAGTTGTTTCCAAGATCTAGCTATTACAGATTGTGCTGCCATAAACATGGATGTGCATATGTCACTGTGATATGATGTTTTCAGTTATTCTGAGAAAATACCCAGAAGGGAAATATCTGGGTTGAATGGGACGTCCAATCCTAGCTTTATGAGGAATCTCCACACTGATTTCCACAGTGGTTGTACCAGTCTACACTCCCATCAACACTGGAGGAGGGTTACTTTTTCCCCACAGCCCCTCCAGCTTATGTCATTGGTTAATTTCTTGATGGTAGCCATTCTTTCTGCAGTGAGATGGTATCTCAGTGTTGTTTTAATTTGCACTTCTCAAATAATCAATGATGTTGGACATTTTTTCATGTATTTTTCATTTGTATTTCTTCACTTGAGAATTGTATATTTATCTCAGATGCCTATTTTTTTATTGGGTCTTTGAATTTGGGGATCCTGATTCTTTAAAACAAATTATGTTTTAGATAGAAGTCTTTTGTCTGAAAGACAGTTGACAAAAATTTTTTCCCACTCTTGGATTGTCTTCTCATTCTGCTGTTGATTTCATTTGATATGCAAAAACTTGGATCCCAGTTGTTGTTTTCCGTGCAGTTTGGGTTTTGTTCATAAATCCTCTGCCTACTGTTATGTCTTCAAGATTGTAACCTACTTTCTCTTCCAGTAGACTTAGTGTTTCCTTTCTAATATTTAGATCTTTGATCCATTTTGACTTTAGTTTAGTGCATGGTGGTAGACATGGCTCTAATTTTAGTCTTTGGCATGTGGGAAAGAGGCTATTTTTCTTCCATTGAACATGTTTGGCTCCTTTGTCAAAGATAAGATGGCTGTATTTGTAGTTGTGTCTGCATCTTCTAATGTGTTCCATTGATCCTCAGGTCTGTTTCTTTGCCAGTACCATGCTGATTTTATCACAATAGCTTTTTAGTATAATTGCAAGTCAGGGATTATGATACTTACTGCCTTGCCTTTGCTAATGGACTTGTCACTTAGATTAATTTATAAAACTGCATAACTAAAGAAACCATAAAGTTAAGAAAAAAAAGCATAGCCAAGCATAGTGGAGCACATCTGTAATCTCAGCACTTGGGAGGCTGAGGCAGGAGGATCACTGTGGGTTTGAGACAGACTAGACCCGGCTACATATTGAGTTCAAGATGGGCCTGAACCACATAGTGAGATCCTGTCTCAACAAAAAAAAAAGTTTAAAAATATAGAAAGAGGAACTCATATTGTATAGGACTAGACTCTAGAATATATGGATACTATATGCAAATTTATAAAAGAAGAGAGATAATGTTTTTTATGGGAAAAATAAAAATTGAAACTCTCACAAGAAAAACTTCAAATACAAAAGATTTTTTAGGAGTTTGATCCCATTAGCAACCAGGGAAAATCATTTAAAACTATGATTTCAGATCTAATCAAAGTGTCAAAAATATGAATCCAGTCTGTTAATTTCTATTTCTTTTTTTAAAATTCTGTATCATTTTTATCCTTTTTTTGTTTGTTTTTAAAATTAAAAAAGAAAAAGATAAAATATTCAGGTCCGGTGAGGCCAGCAGGACAGGAGACAGCAGCCAGTGAAAGCCGTGTAGCTTCAGCTGGAGGAGGAAGCTCTCTACCACCACCCCACCCACCTCCCTGGAAGGTACCCTCCCGGGTGAGCCTGGGCTCGATCAGAGTCGGCCATTGGCGGGCTTGGATGTGGCCCCTCCCTGGTCACTGTGCCCAAATGCTGGAGCATTAAGAATGCACCAAATGTTCTGCTGTGGTCCCCTCTATAGTCCAGCTTTGGAATGAGGCCCACGGTTTACACACTTGGACCCAAGCCTGTGACAACAGGGCCTCAGGAAGAAAGGCCACGTGGCATGCCCTTGGAGGGCATACTGGGGCCCTGCTTCCAGGAGGTGAACAGGTCTCCTCTGCCCCGTAGCCACTGTGATGAATTATGCTGCCACAGGCCAAAGAGGCACAAACCTAGTGACCTGGGACTGACATTTCTGAAACACAGGGCCTCTATAAACTTCTCCTCCTTGTAAATTGATTTATCTCAGGTACTTTGTTACAGTGATGGAAAGCAAACACCAGTCCCATTTGCTTATTTTGTTTTTGTTGTCTTGTGCTTTTAGGTTCTTTATTTTTTCTTCTTTTAAGGCCTTTAAAAATCTTTGCCCAAGCCAATGGACAAATCATTTCTCTTATATTTTGTGTTATTGTGGGTTTTTTTCCCAGTACTTTCATAGTTTCAAGAGTTACACTTAAGTCTTCATATATGATGAAAGAGCTCTAGCTGTATTCTTCTAGAAAGGGACATTTGTTTTCTCAGCAACACTGATGGAAGAAACTGCTTCTCCAACGTGGGTTCTTAGTACCTTCGTGGACTCTTTGTTGTGAGCATATAGGTTTATTTCTGGACTGTCTATTCCGTTCCACTGGACTATGTGTCTGGTTTTTTGTTACTCCTGTTTTTACCATGTTTTGAAGTCTGGCATTTTGATTCTTTCAGTGTTATTTTTTGTTTTTATTTACTGATGATGAATTCCTTTAGCTATTTGAAGTCTTTTGCGGTTCCACACAAGTTTTATGATTTTTTTTCTATTTCTATGAAGAATGTTACTGGCCTTGTGATAGGGGTTGCATTACATCTGTAGATCACTTTGAGTATTACGGACATTCACAGAATATTTAACTCTCCCAATCCATATAGATGGAGTATATTCTGTTTTTTTGTGTGTGTGTCTTCAGTTTCTTTCATCCATGTTTAATGATTTTCATTATAGAGATCTTTTGCCTTCTTGATTAAATTTATTCCTACATATTTTTGTAGCCGTGATAAATGGAATTGCTTTTGTAAATTTCTTTTTCAACTAGTTCATTACTGGTGTGTACAAATGTTATTGATTTTCACAGATTTGCTCCTGATGAAAATATTCAGCTTCCTGGGCATCCGATGCAAAAGAGAGGAGCTTCAGAGCGACCAAGAGCAGCCGGGTCGCCCTCTACAGCTCAGGCCCCTCAGCCAGTGTGCGCTCCACCGGCAGAGGTCAGAGCTCATCCAGGAGTCAGGGCTGTGTCCACAGATGAATTCCTAAACCAGCAAGTAGACAAGGAAGA